TCAAGTTGCAGGTCAGTACTGAGTTCGGTGACCACTAAGTACACAGAGGCAAAAGTGTCCGCTGCACAAACAGAAACACAGAGGAAGACGAGAAAGAAATGTGACCCTAACAGAAAGGAAAACAGAGAAACATACCCACACACATGCAGAGGACACGGAGAGACTTGTTTTTGTGAGGCAATATGGAATAACTAATTTATCAAACACACAACTATAGACAGAGTAAATATACACACACATAATTACAAAAACATAGACGGATAGGCAAACACACAAAGACACCCAGAAGCAGTCACCCAGCCATACACACCACACACCTAACTACTGATAATCCCCCAGACACAGGAACACACACACACACACTCACACACACATACATACAGAGCATCATTATGTTTATCACTGTGAACCAGCCCACCGACACCCATCATTCTAATTCCATTTGTCTGTTTAGATTCGTTTTGCTTTAATCCTCCCTTGTTTGTGCACATCTGCAAGCACTGCAATAGTACAGACCGAGAACGAGAGGAAGAGAGAGAGAGAGGTACAGAAAGAGACAGAAAGCAAAACAGAGAGAGAGAGAGAGCTCACAGGGAGCACTCTCCCTCATGACATCCTGGTCCCTGTAGCTCCAGCAGAAGGGGCAGACAGGCGTATCTCCTTGCCCAGGGAGAAGCTCCCTGTCCCAGCCACGGAGCCGTCGCCAGGCCCGGAGGCCCCTATAATCACTGCAAACAGTCAAACATCCAGTCACACAGGCTCTTACACCAACACAACATTACAGGCTTTTTACACAGTATTACACCACATCTTATTATCCCATTCAAGTCCCTCTATTAGCTCAATTGGATGGTGGGATTTTCATTTGTAAATTGAGGGATTTCAGATTAGCTTGTCTGTCAGCGATGAAATGCCCCCTGAGACTGTGAATTATGTGACCAATCACATATGAATCAATGCTTACACATGCTGCAGCTGCATGAATGGATGGTGTCAGCAAGAAGAATTAAAACAACTTTAACCTAGATTACGTGTTGGGTGTACAGTACACATATTTAATCAATGGTCACAGCTGCAATGCACAAATGCCACCGTTTCAATGTACACCCCACAATAAGCAGTGTAGGCTTTATGTGGCAAATAATATTCAGGTCTAATGGGGAATTATTAAAGAGATAAATATTAGCTTCCGTACACACCTAGCAGCAACATTATGCAGAACTGAAGCTGGTTGGTTGAAAGGAAACGAATGAATTACCCCTCTTCCTCCCCGGGCCTTCCATTCAGATACAGCGTGAGGGAAAGAGAGGCAAGAGAGAGGAAAAAAGGCACCCCGAGCTAGTCGAGAGACCCGGCAAATTATGAAAATGCCTCTCTGTGTCCTAAATGGAGGCCGAGCTCTTTAATGTGGCACAAAATTAGAACCTGGGGGAGGAAGTGTGGCCCGCTTGATTGGCGAAACCCCTCCTGGCCCACTACCCCCCTTCTTCTCAAAGCACACTGAGATATTATCCAGTGCCTAGTGGCGCTCTCTTGTACTGGGAAAAGTGAAGGACCCCAGAGAGAGCCCAGGGGCGTCCATAAAGGTGCCTAATTTGTCAGTTTACTCCTCAATTATTTAAATAGATCTAAGAAGGGAGCGGAGAATGAGGCTTTTTCCTGCCTCTTCTCAGTCAAAGCAGAGAGACCTTTCTCCACGGTAGCCATTTTCAATTACGCTCCGCACTGCTGTCTTTGATATACAGAAGTGCTGTAGTGGAGCGGGGCTGTATCAAATAAACAAATGTGTGTACACAAGATAACAACGGGAACTTGGGGATAATATTCAGCCTGCTCGAAAGAACTCAAAGTTATTTCACATTTACAAATTTGCAGATTAAAACAAACTTTGTGGACACGTGCACACACAGGAAGCACACAGACACACGCCGAACGTTTTTCATCTGCTAAAATGTCACGAGCGTATGATCGTACACACCGTACATTTACACTTTTATCCGTGAGGATTAAGGTACGGTTTGGATACAGGGGAGGGACCTATTGTTACTCATCCCTCTGCTCTCCTGTCCATCTACACCATCAACCTACAACCTCATCTCCCGCTATCCTATCAACCACGCACACCCAGCTGGAGTACCAACTCCAACAGCCTGGCAATGCCACCTCCCCGCCAGAGAGACCACTGGAGGTATATGGAGCCTGGGGGCAGAGATTACCAAGCGGTTGAAAATTGATCCTGGAAATAGAGATGTTGTATTCCCCAACCCTCTGACCTCTAATCCCTCAGATATCTTCCTCTATTGTTTGGTTTGATTTACTATTGGGAGGAGTCTGTGTGGGCTAAAGAGGACCAGGATGCTGTGAAGCTGCAGGGGGGTCCACACAGGGTCCTAATGTGACCTGATCACTCACAGGTTTTTGGTGCAGGCAGGTAACGGACCCTCTCTTTCTCTAACAGCTGTGCCACAAACCCCAAGTGAGATAAACTCATCTCTCAAACAGTAAATTTCAATAAGCACTATTTATACGTAGGCAGCATTGGCAGTGCAGGATCCAGCTGCAGTACAACGGTATAGGTGCAACCACACAAAGACATGAGCAGGAAGACAATGTCAGTTTTTTTTAAACACAGTAAAGAAACTTGCAAATACAACATACAAACAGTAACACAATGCAGGGCACTACAAACACCTGTACAAATAAACTTGCACACATGCTGCACCTGACATGCAAACACTGGCCGCCACACACTGTGGAAACACAAATCAAGAGTGATGGCAAACGGAAACCTGAGAAAAGTCAATCATGATGTCAACACAGACTGATGTTAATGGGCCTAATTCTACGCAATACACATTCAGGAGAGCAGTTAATTTAGCTAAGATAACAGTAGTGCTACCTCTGAGAGAAGTTTAAGGTTACAGTGTGCCTGCTCACAGGAGTTGGTGTTTCAGACAAACCTGCAGGCAAATGTTGTTTTTTGAATACATTTGCATGAAGGAAGTGAAACTCTTGAGATTTAGAATGACTTTTGTGGTAGAGTCCAGTGCACACAGAGGCACTGCATGGGTCCAAACTCAGCACCTCCTTACACTTAGACAAAAGTGAGAACTGTTTATCTGCTTTTTTACATTTTCTCATACATGTTTACTTGATACATACAGTACTGTCTTTTGGCATGGTGTGCAATGTGTCACAAAAAAACTGAGGAAACTCGATGAATAGAGGACAGAAGAAGTGGCAGGCCTCAAAACCATCTACTGCCTAACTAAAGGCTCATCAGAAAAGGTCTCAGTGGCTGTTAAGAATTCCTTCTTGTGGAAGGGAAGCAGGGTGAAAAAAATTGAGGTATTCCAACTTAGACAAGAACAGGACTGGAAATCAGTAGTGGAGGGATGAATGCAAGCCTGGCCTCCCCAGAGCCTGCACCTCAATGTTACCAAAGGAGTGTTGGATCATTTTGACAGAAGAAAAGGCAGACAGCATCCAGAGAAATATTACTAAAGACAACTTAAAGAAAATACAAGAAAGCTTGCCTACGAGAGTTCAGGCTGTGTTGAAGAATAAAAGTGGTCATACCAAATATCGACTTTCAAGCTTGTTAGAAATGTACAAACTGTTTTTACCTCATATAATGTATCTCCATGTACGCTTGCATGTTTCAATAAACTGCTCAGGACTTGGACAGTACTGTACCTGAATAAGTCACTTTCATGACTAAATCATAGTATGAAATGAAACATACGAGTCTTAGGAGGAAAAAAAACATTTCTTTTTGCATGGGACAGCAATGTTAAGCTAACAAATATGTACAGACTTTGGTAAAAGGCATTGGCAACCTTTACAAGGATGGGTGGCACCTGGTAAACATCCTTGACACAGGTTTCTCATGCTTAAGAAAGGGATCTGAAGGCAAAGTTTTTCAGAGTGTAAGATTTTGCAAAATCTGTGGCCAGCTCAGTATATCATGCCTCTCACACCCTCTATTCTCTTCCCAAACACTAACCAACACACCCCAGCCCTCCGCCTCCTTCCACTCCAAGCTCCCATCCAGCCAGAGAGAGGAGTGGAGATAGGCCCAGTTGCTAAAGCTGTCTTTTCAGCCCCTGCTCCCGCTCGGTCTATCTGAGATACACAGCAAGCGGAGGTGTCGCTTTTCCGCTGGCATTTCGGACAGTATCTACTTATAGACGAGAGAAAAGGAGAAAAGAAAAACAGAAGGGGTATTATCAGGGAGGGATGAGAGCAGCAAAGGCATTTTGTCTTTTTATTCCCCTCCTAAGCCCTGGGCTTTGCTCCCAATCCGATTGGTCGATACGGCCAGGGATGTAAATGAAATGCAAAGAGGAATAAGGCTGGCTTCCCATCTCCAGTGTGTGCCCCCCTAAGTCCCCCGCCCCTCTTTCTCTGTCTCACTCTGTCTTGCTCTCTGGCTGTTTATGGCGTTGTGTTTCTGTTTCCCCATTCACAGACTTGCTGCTCTCCCTGTTTCTGTCTCACCCTCCTCACTCTGCCTCTGCGTCCTCCCCCACTTCGCGCCTCTCCCTGGCTGGGCTCACAGCTCTTATCTCCTCAGACGCCCCACATTCCAGCGTTGCCGTGGCTCCCTGCCTGCATCCCTGGTCACGGCGATTCCATGGGTTCCCACAATCCTCGGCAGCTTGCTGATTTAGGGTGGGCAAGTGACTCTCAGAAACGGGAGAGAAGAGGAACAGAGGGGTTACGGAAAGACAGAGTGAGAGGGGGTGGGAGGCGGGGAGGGTGGGTGACAAGAGGGGGATGATAAAAGGAAAGTAAGGTAAAAATAAGAGGGGATGAGCCATGTGGCAGCAGATAACTGATGTAAACATTAAACTACACCAATACAGTCAAGTGAAGTTAAAAAACACGATTTAAACTCGCATTATTAATTTGCCTGCAATGTCAAAACAACAAATATGATAACATTTTTGATCAAAAATACTACATTTGAGAACAGAGCACAAAAACACATAAAAAAATCTTTATTGAAATATTTTAATCTGTAGAAAGCAGAATGACAGTTTCCCCCTTGTTTTTATGTGAAACCAAACCATCTGCGCTACAGCAGGTCGAACCTCATCATCCAGCCAGCTGACAGCCGCTAACCAGGCCTGCGAACACAGAGGGCAGATTACATTCGGAGAAAACTGCACATGCACTCACTGTCCCTCGCTTTCCGCTGGTATCTCAAACAGCAGGCTTCTTCGGAAACGTTTTATAAAGCTTATGGCAAAATGCTGATTTGACCTCTGCACAACAAATTTCATGGCACGAGGTTCATTAACATCAACACTAACATTTTTAAAAACAGTGTGTAACTGATGCGTCAGATACAAGGGCGTACTTCAGGGGTGTTCTTCAAACAACCCCGGTCCAGTCAGACTAAGTTTGACGGCACCTCTTCCCGACATTCACAGACCTGAGATTCCATTTTTCTGTGAGTCGAGTATTGAAAATCTTGCGTATCTGCGTTTGTCCGTGAACTTTCCATGACTTTGTGTCTCTCTAATGATCAAAGCATTTTGCTTTTCAGTGTGCCGATCTGTTTATCGAATAGGTTTATGAGCAATTCTGGCAAGGAGAGGGGGCTGAGTGGAGATTTAAGCATGTTCTCACACACATGCAGACCCAAATCAACATAGATGCCCACATGGGCACACGCACGAACGCACCTCTAAAAGGGTCCCTGGCATTGTGACATTTCACATTTCATTTAAATCCAAGAGGGATTACCGCCCTCATGTTAGGAAGGAAGAGAGAGAGGGGGGGGGGTAAAAAAGCACTCATCGAATCCATTAGTTTTAAACATTTAAAGGACCATCTAAGATAGACTGATGGAAGGATAGAAGGGTGGGTGGGTGTGTAGGGCTGCCACTGATGTGGAGTGAGGCTGCGTGGCACAGCACAAGTCTGTCCTAGATTAAACAGCCGCTCTAATCCCCCATTTCTGCCCCCAAATTGGGTTTCCCTCAATCTCGGTCTTGCCATCCTAATGTGAGAAAAAGAAGTAGAGCAGAGGCTGAGGCAGAATAATCAGCACGTTAAAAGCTCTGAGAGCAGAATAGGAAAAAAAAAAAGGGGGGGGGGAACGAGATGTAACGATAAAGCAATTGAATGGGTGACTTTAAGAGAAGCGTGCAGAGCTTGATTGAGGTCAGGCAGGGCTTCCTAAAGTCATGCCCTGCCGCTGGTCAACTGTAAACATTCATCAAATGAGACGTAGCACAGTGTTAGCTCTGTTTGGTAACTTCAAACAAGAACTTATCCACCAGCATTTCCCTTCATTTCAAATTCTGACATACAAGTCCAATTTGGCACAGTACATTTAGCCAAACTTAACACCAGTGCACCAGTCTTGATCCACATAGAGCGTCACCTTAAAACCACACAAAGAGGCACATTGGCTCAGCCATAATTTCCATTGTTCCAGCTCCGTGGATCTTATGGGGTTTGCCTCCGGCTCTGTCGGAATCTGTCTCTCTCTTGGAGCAGGTGAGTAATGGCTGAGCGGATGGCGGGTGCCTGGGGATCAGTGGGATCCTTCTCTAAGTAAAGACTGAAGTGCTGGACACTGCAGGTCAGTAGGCTGTCTGCACTGTAACCCCTGTGACCGGAGCGGAGCAGCCTCTCGCAAGCCAGAGCCAGGTTCTTGTCCCAGTTTGGAGGATAGTCGGAGTGGGCCTCAACAATCTCCTTATATAGCTTCCCGGCAATTAAAAAAAAACAGAGATAAACATAAAAACATTCATGCTTTTCCTGATGCATTTTAATCTGCCCTACTGTGGTAAAGTGTTTGCAGGTGGGGGTCAGACTCACAGTGTAAGACAGCTCAAAGAGGCGAGCTTTCCCCTCTCCCTGCATCCTTTCAGCCAGGTCAAACAGAAAGAAAGCCGTCTTCATCCTGAAACAAAGCACGCAGGCTCAGGGCTAAGTGCTGGATGGATGAGCCATGCAGATCTACACTCTCAGACGCACCACTCCAATGGAGTGATTTATGTAGATGCCGGCACCAAATACATTGTACGTGTAGATGTTTTACCACACAAGACTGGTTTATGGAGATGTTCTGGTGGGGCAATATGCATCGTGACACATCTTTTTATTTATGCTCGAAAGTATACATCCACTTCAAACAAGAAAACTAGCATCCGCTGTAAAGCATTCAGCATACCTGGCTTGCCACATCTCTTCATTAGCAACACGCTCCCAGGATGCAGGATGGAAACTGTTCATACATGGGGAGAAAAAAAAATCATTTCTTTATCTAATACAACCTTCAGGCACCGCGCTGGCTTATTCACAGTTCCACTAACTATAAATGATTATTTATGTGAATATATTGTTCCACTTGGCTGTGCAGGTTTTGATACACTAAACATCAATGTTTGCTGCATAAACATTAAGTGACTGAGCAACAATACCAGCTAGCACATTAGACATGGAGTAAAACCACATCTGCCTTTTTTTCCCCACTTTGTTGACTGTAAACACTTGACCTCTTCTTCAAAAGAATATTTTAGCAGGGTTTCCGAGCTAATATTTGGCTTGTGGGCATCGGCAGACACGCTTGTCGTGAGGGTGCGGGAAATAATGTCACAGTATTCAGCCGTGGATATCTGAGTGAATGAAGGGCTCCTGGCAACAGCAACAAAATATGGAGCTTTGACTAATTCCACTTTTGACACAGTTATTGACAAGACGCAATAAGAAACTCATTATTTTTCATCTTCAGTCTCATTTCAGATGGCTAAGGGCCTAATGTCTTGCTCTGGTAAAATTCACAAAGAGCTGGATCACAGCATGGAGAACAGAGGACAAGCCCACTGAGGGACGTTCTGTGGAGTCTGTGGAGGGACGACTGAAGACCACAGAGAGAAAAGTGAGCACTGAGATTTTTTCTTTTCACTCCAAAGGATTTGTTTATTTTCTTGGCCAACAGCAGACCTTAAAAATTAAACCATGCTAATTTTTAACCATTTAAAAATCAGCGACGCTGAAATGTTATGAAAATTCAAATGAAGATCAAAGAGATCTAACTTTTCTAAAAACATTTAACAGGTTAGATTGAATTTCAGAGCAATGAGGATAACATGACATCCCCAACACCAATCTAAATATAAATTATTTTAATAGTATAATCCAGGCTGAAATACGCATGAAGGTAAGAGTTAACTGTTAACCTGTTGTGTGGATCACTCCAGTTATAGATATTGCGTGTACGATGAGCCCACTCTTCAGGGTGAAACTGCTTCTGAACGGGCGCTAAGTAGTCACACACACCCAGGGGCCAGCGGGAATAACTGTGTTCCCAGCTCAGGTCTCCATCAGGAAGCCCGATGCAGGCAAACACATCCCTCCTGCAGAAAAACAGAGACAAACTCTTAAATAGAGGCGTGCCCTCAGTTTTTATCTCCGGGTAGCTGTTTATAATTACACACACAGTGACAACATGGAGACAGAAATTTCCTCACATCCCAGCACCTTCTAGGTTCCCATCAGCCCTGCGCTTCTCACAGACCCCGAGGGTTAATCCCGCAGGTCAGTGTTGCCCCCACAGAGATACATATATGTTGGCCTGGCAAACACTGCCCCCTGGTGGGCTTGGTATTAACAAGGCACTATCCAATTTCTGGATCTCAGTTCCTCCTGAAGGAGTGAATCATGGGAGCAGCAGCAAGTCCACCAGAGACCGTTTAACCAAATCAAGTAGATTAGCTGACTTTTGTAGTTCATCAGACTCCTTTTATGGCCTCAACAGTTCTGTGGGCTTATCTTGTGCTTGCACTGTGTCGACCATTCTGCTGATCTCTGCCTCATTAGATCACCCACTTGTTCATTGTTGCCCTCCCGATTCACTCACTCTCTCTCTCTCTTTCCATTTAACATCCTTTTATTCCCCCTCTGCTCTTTTCATGTGTCTGAGACACTCACTGCGTGTTGCGGGACAGAAATTGATCGAGACTGAAGGTGCCTTTCTCCTCGGGGTTGACCGGGTCCCACCAGCGGCCGGGAAAGTGGATCCCAGGGTGGTGCTGTGCCAGCTTGGCCACATACCAAGCATATGTCATCATCTAGTGAGAACAAAGAGCACCACCAATCCCAGAGAAATATTTATAACCAGTCGATTATCAGTTAAACAATCATCAGTGCAATTAGTTTAAAGGGATTTTTGTGTCATTATATCTTAAAGCAACTGATGAATCATAGTGATAACATATACAAACTAATAAGTATATAAGACAACACAACCAATTTATAAGGCCTCTACTTGCTGACTTAAGGGTCTAATTTATGATGTCAATGAATTTCTTTCAGTTACCACAAAGCTGATTTTTACATTTTGCCAAAATATGTAAAACATTATATTATCATGAGAAATCACACTTCATTCACATTTTGTCCTTTATTTTTTAAATCTCTTTTGAATATAGTGCGGTTTTAATGGACAAGAAAAATAAGACAAAACAATTTCGTCATAAATAAAATTCCTTAACTTATATTATGAAGGAAAAATCTTTTCAATACAGGGAACAGGGAAAACCTCCTGACCTCCTGATCAACCAGGCGTACATCAGGCCGTACGCCCTGGCAGTAGTGCAGGTATCGCAGAGAATTTCCAGGCAGATCTCCTCTGGTCAGGATGATTGAGTCTTTGGAGAAGGAGGCCAGAAGCTCCCTGCCAAACCTCTCCACCACAGTGTTCCCACTCTGATCACACTCCCTAAGATCATCAGCACATATGCAAGCAATTACTCTACACTAGCATCAAAACAGAAGTTGCATTTTCTCCCATTTTAAAAATGGTTAAACACATCTTTACCCCTGCTCAGAAGTGTGTGTGAGATGTGTGCAGCAGTGTATATGTGAGTGTCTGTAGGTACGCTTTCAAGGTGCTCTGAGGGTAAGTTGTCAGTGCCCCCGCCCCTTCCCCTCACTCTAGCTGCCTATCTAATCGTGGGGAGACAGGTGTGATGGGTCTGACAGCACAGGCCATGCTCTCCCCTTGATCAAAGCCGCTCAGTGATGGCTGTCTGGCACTCCCCAGCGCTACGCTGGTGTAATCTGCCTTCTCGGACAGCTAACATCTCAGACTGAGCTCTGAGAGTAGAATCTATGTGCTAACCGTGCCTCTCTTTAGCCCCTACCATGGGGTGAGCAGAGAAAAACCTGACATGTGGAGTTCAGACCTGCAGTATGAAGCGCAGAGAAGCAAAAGAGAAACAAATCAGGTTGACTCAGGAAAAACTGTGCATGGGGATTTTAGAAGGAGCTAGAAGAGGGGGGTTTTTACATCATTTAAAGTTTACAAAGCAGAAGTATTTAACTTCATTCTTCATATGCATTTGGGTTCAGTGTAGTTACTGCAACATGAATAATGTAAAAACATTAAATTGACAGATACATGGATTGCAGAGTATCTGAAAAGAAACCGTAAGACTCGAGCAGTCGGACACAAAAACACTATTAGAGCCTGAAATCACTAATAGCCTGTAGAAGAAAAAAACAATGCAGCTACAATAATTATGTCCACTGTGATCAAAATCTTTGCTGTTAAGAATTAGTTTTCTAATTGTCTCCAAATTCAGACGTTACAAAGCCCTAACTCAGCCCTTTTACTGCAAATATACAACAGTGGAAATGGAACTGTAAGGATTTTGTAAGGAGTTAAAGTTCGGAGCGCTGGATTTTTAAATTAAACAATGAGAATACATTTAAAGTGCTGCCTTTGCGTTCCTTTGGTAGTGTCTTCATTCACATGCAGTGCAATTCTGAGGCCGGGGCCAAAATGAGTCTAACTGCAACAACACAACAAATCTTCAAATTTAAAGTCAGCATTTTAAACTCGTTGCTTGAAATCTACCATTTTAGACTTGTGCAATGAAAACCACTGTTGCACACCACAGTAATTCCTGACTGTGTATCGACAGCACTGCAGATTTTCATCACACCAAACAACAGCAAGCTTGTTACTGTTAGCGTGTGCAATAGTCACCTGTGATTGGTGTGCACCATATGTGCCAGCAGAGCTGCAGTGAAGACCCAGCCTGTGGTCTTCCACAACCCCCCATAGCCCAGCCTCCTCTCCAGCCCAGCTAGAGTCCAGCTCAAGCCGAGGCCTGCCAGCACACACACTGCAGCATCGCTCTGGAGCCAGAAACGCTCAACCTGCAGGAAGTGACCATGCAAGTGTATACCACACACACACACACACAGAGACAGAGACACACACACACACACACACAGACACAGACACACACAGAGGCAAATAAGTGTTTTCTGTAGTTTTTTTTGCTTTGTTTTTTTCTGGGTTTGCTTTACCGTTGGACCAGGATCAGCATCAACATACAGCACGCTGCTGTCACTTTGGTTTTATTTCAGAATATTGAAAACTGAGACAAACTTGTAATTCAATGCTGAGCACAAGGTGTGATGCTTCAGCTATGATATGAGAAAAGATGTCTGAGAACATAAAAGTCTTATAGCTCACCACTCCGAGCAGTAAGGGTCTGCTAATGTCCAGGTTGGCTCTCCATGCAAAAAACAGCGAGTAGACCACCAGCATGACAGTTAACAGCCAGGACACTGAGCGACACCTCCTAGGACGGGACACCTCGGGTTATTCAGCGCACAAATATTTAACCAGCTTTCCTTTTTTTTCTGCATGCACAGTCTGCCATTTCCATATTTTTAGTCTAATGTATCACTTTGTCTATTTACTCTGTAAAAATATACTTGTTTTGAATAAGTCTGTAAGAATATTAATGCACGGACGGGGATCACAAGCCTGAGAGAAAACGTATCTGCCAGCAAGCTAAGAGGTGCATGATTGATTTTCTAATCCAGACTGAGTCATAATGAGCCGGTGCCAACCGCTGAATCACAAACTCATTACAGTACAGCTGTAAAACGTTCTTATACACCAAAAAGAAAAAATTTCCCCTCGTGGCAAAAAAATAAGCCATCGTCCGAACCTGAAGAGACAAGCTTTCAGGTTTCCTGCCAACAAACTGATTTGCTGATCTCCGTCAGCCGGACACTTATAATCACTCAAGCTTTTCTTGATTTACGTTTTCCTTACTTACAAGCACCATAGCTAAAAAGCAAATGAAATCATATTTATAACCTTACACTTTAACATGGGGCAAATAAGCATTTGCCGGGTTTCCTTTGGGCAATCTATTAGACGACCTTCCTCTTCTTCATCATCTGTCTGTGTATGTAGCCAAGTTTATTGAAGTGCACCTCGGGAGAAGGGGAATAGCTTGTGCCCTGCGGGGCTTTGGGGCATTACTGGGGCTTTATCAGCTCCACCCAACAGATCCCAGCAAAGGCTCTCCTGTAATGAATTACAGGATCACGCTGCCACATATAGATGCATACAGGCAGTGATTTACTTGTACACACAAACATGATTTTGAAAATCCAAAATACACATCAAATCCTCTTGATCTGAATGTGGAGTGTCGTGACAGTTTGACAGTTAGGTGCCTCAGTGTTGTTTTGTATTCTTTTTTTCTAAGATCAGCATTTTGTCAGTGGTTTTGTTCCCCGTCTTTTACTCCAGGGGATTAGATTTTTGTAGTTGAAGTGGGTGCTGAGATGTGCGTGACAGAGTTTGGTGTGTTGCATGCTGGCATCCAACTCATCCTTACCTGTCCAATGAGGAGAGCGCAAAGCCCATTCCTGCCAGTACCAAGACAGGAAGTGAAAGTTCTGCCAGGGAGTGGTCCAACTGAGCCCTGCACACACAAACACACACAGAGACATGACGGACACCGAAGACAAGCTCAAGTAGCCTCCCTGCTACTGAACTCAAGGACACCAATTATTAAATGCCCTTCATCCCCTATCAAAACAAACTCCTTGGACTGTGCACTCCTCCTTTCAATCGGATTGACAGATACGAATGACTGTGTCATCCACCCCCCACAGCCCCATCCTCTCCTCACAGCGCCTGTCAGTCACACAGCGCTTGCTCAGAGCGGAGAGATAGTTTCCTGCCTCTTCCTTAATACCCATCTCTATTTGACAGCTTATTGAGTCTCTATATCTCCCAATGTACACTATGTGTGAATGTGCTCATGAGCGTGTGTTCGTGTGTGTGTGTGCGTGTCAGTTATTCCAGTGGGTTTACGTCTCCAGTGCGACATGCCTGTCATGTTCGCCTCTCTTCCCCATCTTGAAGGTGTGCTTGTCCATCAAGCAGCAGGGGTGATGGAAAGGGGTGGGTGCTTGGCAGAGGGGGGGCTGGTAGTGGGGGGTCTTAAGACGCACACGCACCCCATCCCGTCAGCTGGAGAAAGATACCAGGAATGGGATGACTGTGGTTGTGGTAGCAGAGGGAAGCAAGGGAGGGAATGGGGTGGAGGGGGTGGGGAGGTGCTAGAGTGGAAAAATACAATTTCTCAAGCTCTATTGCAATGTCTGTCATCACAGCTTGTCACGCTTAAACACCAGAGCTGAGTGATCATTTCAAACTGCTGGAGAAAGAGAACACAGTGATTTGGCCCTCTAAGCAGGTTCAGTTCTGCTTTGATGGGAGAGAGTGGAATGGGAAGAACAAAAGCTGCTGGGGAAAGTAAGGGAAGAGATGGGCTGCAGAAATGACTGTGGGCCCTTATAATGGCTTGGTGTGCGTGTGTATGTGGCTAAACCTGTGTAAATCACCAGAACCATCGCAAAGAGCAGTTGGGTCTTCCATCTCTAGTCCCAAACGTGCCCTCACTGTGCCTCAGATCAAATCGACCTACTTTCCTCCCTTCTCCATCCTAGATCCTACTGTCTAAATAGAAATGAAATACTCAAATCAAACATGCTGGGCAGTTTATGGATGAGAAACATACTGTTTCCTGCGAGACGGACTAAATGTGCTGCTTTGGCCACAAAAACTAGAAATTCAGTGATGTTACTTTGTTCTGGGAAACGATGATGTGAGTTTAGCTGATGGTCATTATACGCATTAAATGACCATCTTGTTGTGCCGTTTACGATATTCAGACCAGGAAGTTTCACGTGCAAACAGCAGAAAGACTGTTTACTTACTGCAGCATTGTGGTCAGGTTAACCGAGCTTTCTGTCTTTGCCTGCAAAACAAAAATCAATGTAAGCTAAGCCAACAGGGTCAGGGTCTGTTTAAATGCAGCGAGGCAAGCAACACTTACCAGACAGAATGTGCCATATTCAGCTCGCAGCAGGTGGGTCAACAGACCCGACAGGGTGGTCTGGTCACCCCAGCTCCAGCGGGCTGTGTTGAGGTAGGATGAAATCGGCAGGTAGATGTACGGCAGGAAGCCAGCGAGGAAACAGAATCCCAGAGATACAAGGCCACGCAAAGACAGCTCCTGTTTAAATACAAGAATAAGATGTTCTTAAATTCATGTTGTCCAAACCGTGAGCAAGAAAGTAAAATGGAACGTGTGCGTGTCAACAAGACTGGAGAGCCTTGTTTGGCCCTAAAAGCCCCTCTTTTCTTAGACCAACAGTAACTTTGAAGTTGCGCTAATTTCCAGCTTCATATATTTAGAATTCAGAGTTTAAAACAATCCATATTTATATCTATCTTAAAGCCATTTTAGCTCCTCTCCCTTTAAACCAACTTCCCTCTGATTGGCTGCACCTCACAAACAGCAGCTTTTAAGAGGATATGAGAGGAAAATATCTTGTTTTTGAAGTCTTTTTATTTCTGTCAAAAAACTGCACACAGCCTATTTCTTCTTTGCCATCTATAATTCTCTTTATTTAAAGAGACCCTGTGACTTACCTTTTGAGAGCACAGTCGGTAAAGGACCCAAGGAATGATGACCAACACATACAGCACCAGTGTGTGCTGGTTACAGAGCCCCAAGCCACAGCATAATGCCCCCCAGTGTGCAATCTAACAGGGACAACCAAAACAGTGCAGCATTGTGCGTTTACATTGAATAAAACATAACCTGTGTGTTGCATCTGTTGTGTGGTGTTTTGAGTTACCTTCTTCCTCTGCGTGGCATTTTCAGCACAGCGGAAGCTGGCGGTCAAGAAGAAGAGAAGGCCAATAAAAAGGTTATTGAGGGTGAAGACCTCTGCCACCATGGACCACTGCCAGCTGAGTCTGGACACAGCGAACAGCCCACCAGCCAGCACTGCTCCAGGACCAGGACCTGCCAACCTGAAAGTGTAGAAGAAGAGGGTTTTACTCTTTAGAAAGGACTGCATCGGAGGACAATGACAAGAAGTTAATTACAATCTGGTCAACTAAATTAACTATTGTACTAATTTAACCATCTGGATGTTTCAGTTGTTTAAAACGACTGCATTAAAATGAACCTCAAAAACAGTATTTCTAAAGGCTGCAGAACTTAAACTGCTTTTTTCAATTTTTTTTTTTTATCTAAGCTGCACTGCAACGACACACTGAAAAAAAAACAGAGAGAAAATAACAAAGTCAGCAGCTTCACACAAATTTTAAATGTTGTTGTCAAAAAAGCCACCACTTCCCTATAACTAATTTGGGGACCCATTATAATCTTCCTTCTACCCAAGTTTGCTTTTCGGACAAGACCTTGAAAAACACTCAGTGATTTGGGGTAATTCACATATCATGAGAAGTCCCTCTCGAGCAGCCGGTTGATCTTGAACAGACTGGCACAGAAACCACCGTGGTGGAGATAGCACTTTATCCTCAGCTTCTTAAATATAATGTGTGCACAAAAGTTTTCCCCTTCCTCCTCTCCTGTACTGTCTCCGTCTCCTCTGCGGTAATTGAAGCAAACTTGGGATAATCTGTCATACGCTAAGACCCACCACTTACTAAACTGAGAGACAGAGGGGGAGAGAGAGTGAGGCGACAAATGATGGGGAGAAGGGAAAGAAAAGGGAAATAGTGCAGAAAAGTGTGCATTAAAGGGGTGAGACAGTGTGCGGGATGTAGGATGAAATATAGAAAAAGGAAGAAAAAAGTTCAAGAAGAGAGAGGGGAAAGAAGAGAAAAGGAAAAAAAGGCAACCCAGTCCCCAGCATGCTGGCTCTGAAATATGAGCAGGCTCGACAATTAGGGAAGTCAGGCAGTATGGCCCTTTCCACCATTGTGTGGAGTGGCTTAGAGTCCTCATCAGCCTATCAGCTAACTGACAGGCAGAGAGCTGCTCTATTCAGCACCGCAGATACAAGCTGCAGGCCAAACGGCTGCCAGGTCCCTTATGACCCCACAATCCCTTGCCGGTGACAGCTTCAAGCTCCATAGCAAATTAGGCGCTCTCACATTACAATCGCAGAAGACAGATTCCATTAACGGTATCTGAAATTGAGTAGAGAGCAGGCCCGTTATCAGACCTGACTCATAAGCACCGCCATTAATCACAAGGCATGATACCATTTATACATTTCCAGCTCTCTGCCTGCCGCTGTGATAGTCAGCCACAAAAGGCCTGATGAGACTTAGGCTAGGGGAACAATGGAGCTTTCTGAGGAAAGCGCGGTAAATCAGGAAAAAAAGGAGAGCGAGAGCGAGAGAAGGGTGGAAAAAAAAAACTTTAGCTTGCTGACTACTTCCCCTTTTATTCTTGGGTTTTCTCTCTGCTACTCTCCACTATTTTTTTCTGTGTTCTCTGTAAGGCAAGCCTGCTGAATGAGCACACGTATGTGTGTGCGCATGCACTTAATGGGGTTGGGGGGTTGTGGCGTCTAGGAGTGGGTCTTAATAAGCGATAGCACCGACTTCCTCGCTGCACCGCTCCAGGAATTAGTTGTAACTTGAAGGAAAAATGAAGAAGGGTGGCGTTTCTAGAGGGGGGTGGGGGGATGCAGATGGGGACTTTTGTTGAGGTGCAGAGACCTCCCGCACCCATTATTTTACCTCCTCACATGACAATTAACCCACAGCTCATGCACCTAGCGGGGGGCTGGTTTGGGGGTGGCACGGGGTGCAGAGCAGTCATGGGGGTCCCAAAGAAGGGGTTATTACACCAAGTCTGTTCCTCCTTCTGAAGCTCGTCTGATAGCCAGCACTCGTCACATATTCAAAGACACACACACAGGCACACACTTCTGTTCCTGAACTTCTTTATTCTCCCTGAGTGCCTGACAAATCTCTCTGTTAGAGCTTGTCAGTCAGTAAGAAGCCAGTGATGTGTGTACAGTGCAGCCTGTAAATGACCTGTCTGTCTGCGCGGGACCACCTGGGTCCCAGTCAGCCTCTCCACAGCTCATTCTCCAGGCTGGCTGCTCCCAGGGCGCTCGGATAAAGCAGGACACATTTTGACACCAGTGTGGCCGTGTTCCCTGTTATCACGACTCAGTGCTGTGCAGGATGCTGCCGCTGTACTGAAATGTTGTGGCTCAGTGACAATGGACTGGTTGGGACGTGGCAGGAGAATAACACGGCTGACAACGAGACTATTCAACCCTGAACTGATCCAACCTGCCAAAAAATGCCTGCGTCATCACTTGGGTAATTAAGGAATGACCAATATACTTAAAGCCTGAAACGAAACACAAACTTGGAAATAAAGTAAAAAAAACTATCCATAATTCAACTTGAATAATATGAAAGAGGAGCACAGGCTGAAAAGGGAGGATTAAAGGTAAATAAAAAAAAATGACAATGATACGAGAGACAATGTCCCCTTCAAGGACACAATAAAGGCTCAGTATAATCACTTTGAAGTGTCAAAATGAGAACCTGCCTCATTTACACACTCGGTTCTACAGTATGGGCCAGAGACATGCCAGCATCGGCCGTCTGCGCTAAACAGCATCACACAAAAAACCTACACCAGCACTCTGCACTGAATGAAGCTTCACAATGGAGCTGGCTAAGAGAGCCGCTGTTACACACCACCCCGGGGAACAGACAATACCACAGCTGTGCCATCGCGGATCAACAACGCACTGTTCTCTAACCGAGTGGTGGTTTGGGTTAAGCGGTGCTGGAAAACAATCACACATTCCTGAAGAGGGTAAAAAGCCCGAGAGAGAGGGGGTGGCCTTGCTCGGGCTGAGGCTGAGGTTTCCAGCTGGCCCGAGCAAACACCCCAGGGCTCCCCTCTGGCCGGGACACCAGGCAGGCTATTTAGCAGCTATTATATGACAGGGGTATGATGTATTGCTTTGAAGTTTCAAAGCCAATCTGCAACTGATACACAAACATTAAGGGATGTCAGTAAATCAAAGTATTGGCTTTGATTTAGTACTACTAAATGACCCAATGTTAATTTTCTTTCAGAGGAATTACATCATGACAGTACGATCGAACTGTTTTACGATTTTATACATTTCTGCTGTTTCGAGTTCATATGGGTTAAGTTCTTTTGTCACATGAGAGCAGAAAGATTTGTAGATTTCTGGGTTATCAACAAAAGATGCACTTCAAAAAACACGACACTGGAGTTTAAAATCTAAAAAAAAATATGCAATGTGCAGTATTACATGTAGAGTCAAGAGCTTAATTCATGCTTGAGAGTAATTGTTGTTGTGATTTTTATAAATTCATCATCTATCAGCTGCACAATTGTTTAGGTATGCAATGCTATATTTATTTTATATGGTTATTTAAACAGAAACATAACAATCGTGTTATATGGTGATATTACTGTTGATATTAGTAATATGGCAGCACTGACATCCATACAGTTACCCTTTCACTTCCCTTTAATAGATAAAATATTGATTATAATTACCTATCATATATATTTTAACTTTGCTAGCTGGTGGAATGACCACTGGAATGACGGCTGTTTATGATATTTTTCCTGATTATTTCATCTTAAACTACAATAAGAACTAACTGAGAAAATCTGATTTCTAACTGACGTCCACACTGTATGTTTCAGGAGGGGAAAAAAAGTCTATCAAGTCTCCAAACCAAGCACTTCCCCATCTTTCCTTCCCCCGTGCGGTGTATGAAGAAGACGCTGTCTGTTTGCGCTGAAAGGAGGGTAAACACGGGTCCTGGCTCTGCCGCTCAGACACCCCTCCTCCAAGAATGCGCTCCAGCGCTACAAGTGCGTGTAAAATTAATCACCACAATTCTGTTCAAACAATGCAGCCACTGACATGACAATTTCTCCCAGAATGCCATCTTAATCTCCACCCAACACACAAAAATTACAGGAAGAGGGGGGTGAAAAAAAAAAAAAAACAATTTAGAAAAATCCCGTGTTTATGCAATTCACTGAATGCCATTTTTTATTGCTGCTTTTTTCCAACAAAGTCATTAGGCACACACCAGTGATACATAAATGTTGCTGTATAGATTCCATTAACTAATTCTGGGTGAATTGTAATTGCCGAGTCTGATCCGTCTCTGTGCCTGGTGCCTTATTAAGACTGCCTGTGGTGGGTGAGGAATGTAATATTGACGTCCGAAGCAGACACAATCTCGGGCCCACGGGCAAAAGGAATATTAAACTGGTACTGTATTCTGCTGTCTATCTAGCCCTCCTCCCTCCTCCGCTCTATCCCCATCCCGTAGCCAGTAATGAGGAAATAACATCTTCATTAGACATCTGTTTAACTGTATTAGAGGATGAGTCCTGGGGGAACCATTGGTCATGCTGAGGAGGGTGGGAGTAAAGGAGGTCTGTTGGACTACAATGTGACGGATGAGATACTGCAGAATAGGAACAAAAGGTCCAGCGATTGAGGCCTTTTAAACAGACAAACTTAAAATTGTCTTCTGCATTTTCATAAATAAATTTCAAAAAATAACAGTAATGGGTGTATTCTCTATGGATACTTGGGCTGAAGATTTTATCCAAGAGTAGCAGACGTGAGAGGGAGGGGCATCCTTGCCACCTACAGGAAGAGGTGAGAGCATTACCCAATAAAACAACTCTGTTCAGCTGTTTTTTGGATACAAACCCACATCAGTGGTTGCTAAAAACAATTCCCCCACACGTCGCTCCTGACACGACCTCAACAAGGCACACACAACCCCACCCCTTTGGAAAAACAACCCACCTGAGCAAGGAGAGAAAGCACCATCGGGACCATATGGTGGAGGTCCTTATAAGGAGCTGGGGATGCAGCATGCGGCAGGGGATGGCACCACGCCCACCCTCCCGTCCACTGAGGTGTCAGCTGTGCCACATGGGCTAGCTCTTGGCAGGGGAGCCTTTCGCAGGTGTGCGGTTTTTCTCTCGAGGGCCGCCGGGGAAAGAGGGAGGCCAGACACGTTTGGTGTGCTTCAACGGGCCTGTTATGTAATCATGTGATCAAACCGAAAAGTGCTGATGACTGAGCGGGGCGAAGTTGGGGGGGTTTTTCTGCTGTGATGGCTGTCAGCTCGCTAACGTGTCTGCTCGCGGTGTCTCGGGATAAGCTGGGGAATGGAGAGAGATTCCTCTCAGGTAGCAGAGATTCAGAGCAGCTTTAGCATATAAACTATGAAACGAGAGAGCACAAAATACAGAGCTGTCTGGATTATCCCGCTACGCATTCCTCCAGAGACTCACAGCTGAGGCCTTTAGCATTCCACCAGCCAAATGTTTCTCTCTGTGAACCTCCAAGTGCAATCGATAGTAATTATCATTACGTCCACCATCCTCAAAGGCTTGTCAGGCCGTGGTGTGAAAACATAACAAGACATGCAATTCGGCCATCAAACTATATGATCAAGCAAAGAAAACTGTAATTGACAAATCAAAGGGAAGCTAAATTGCTACATTTAAACTTATGCAAGAGAGAGAAGTGGCTTCCAAGCCTATCAACTTACATTCCCCACATTAAACACGGCAATCTGGCCGACTAATTTAAATTGATACATCAAAGGCTCACAATGTTGGGTATATTCCAGATGAATTTCAAGGTCTTACCATTTATTATTTGAGAGAAACTGACTTCGAGTACCCGTATTAACTTCAAAATATTTTGCCATCTGAACATAATTTCACAAAGCAATAATTTGTTTGGGAGGGTGAGGTCGGCCTATTTCCCAGCAAATGAAAAGCAAAAAAATGAGAAGTAGTTACAAAAAAAACTGTTTAGGAGGGCCAACAAAGGGACAAAAACAACAAATGACATTTAAGAAATTAATTATGTTGGGACACAGCACACTCACTACAAGGGCAGAGCAGGTATGAACGGCTGGTCAGTTTTGGCATTTCATCTGAGGGAAAGGCCTGAACAGAGGGTCTCTGCATGGCCGTGGCATTTATGCCAGTATTGTTGACAGGGTTAAATCACACAAATGCCCTGCACGCCAGAACCAAGAAGCAGGTCTCGACCATCCGGGAACCCTCGCCCAGTTCTCTCATCTTTTGCCCTCTCCAGTAACCCCCCAGTAACCTGAGTGTGCCAACTGATCCACAGCCTCATAGCTCATCCCAGTCTAGGCCCTGAACAGATAATGACTAAAACCTTTTATGCTTATTTCTCTAAACTGGAAGCGTAGATTATACATTCACACTTAAGAGCTTATATGGTGTAACTGGATGAAGTCCTCACCACTCATCAACCCTAGCTGGCGGTTGTGGGTAAGGGGGGTTGCAGAGCCTTTTAATGACTTTTTACTTGACCATAATCCACAACTGGATCTAAATCCCCCGAGATTATAAACTGGGGCTACGGTTAACATGCAAAATAGGAGCCAAATATCAGCAGACAGCATGGATATTTTCGGCCCTCAAAATAACTGTAAATGTCTGGCCAAGAACGGAGTCCAATCAAAAGCCTGAATACCAGGGAAGCAATAAGGATGTCCAGTTAAAGCATGACGAAGAAGTGCAGTGTTTTAACCCCCCCCCCCTCTTTTTTTTTTAACCCTCTTTTTATTGTTTTGTCCTTTTTGCCTTGTCCTGGGAACACTGGTGAAAGCTGGCAGCCGTTGGTTCACCTCTCAGAGACAGTAAGACAGGGCAGGGTCTAAGACTGATGCTGTCTGGGCTTAAGGCCAGTCCCCTGGGTAGCTCTCCCTCTCCAGTCCCTGCCCTACTTCAGCAGGGATGACCCTGTACCCTGACCTTCTCCAGACCTCCTGCCACATCGCACACACTGGCCAAGCACACAGGAAGCCGGCCCAGCACTGCGCACTTTATAACACACACAATTTCATTTTCACTTGCTGTCCTCCTGCTATCACAGAGTCCTCACAGCCTGCCAAGGTGTGAAGCAAGAAGAAATTACATCATATTCAACAATTTCTATTCTGGAAATAGTAACTTAGAAATATATGACATGATTGGAAACAGCCCAGTATGCACAAAGAGGGACAAAAAGGTAAAATGTTGACACTAAGCTGCCACCAAAATGCAGTGTGGAAAATGACTAAAATCAGCAAAAAGTGTGATGTAAGGCAGTCTGGTTAACCATGCAAGATAAACACACAGACAAAGCAGGAAGGGGTAAAATACTCCTTACATGATACGGTCAGCAGCAGGCGAAGCTGCAGGGTGGGTAGATGGCAATGCGGGGACCGTAAACTGTGTTTATGACTGAGCGAGGGGAGAGGTAGTTGACGAGAGGGGAGAGGGAGGAGCGCAGAGAGTGATCCTGTTCCTCTCAGACCCAGGAGGCAAGAAGGGGAGAGATTAGAAATCGTGCCATGTCAGGATTGGGAGCATGCTGGGCAGTGGGGGGGGGCAGAAGAACAGGGATGTCAGGTTTGGGGGGGTGGAGGGCACAATAATTGGGATATACATACACATACACGCATTCTCACAACGGGTGGCTGATAGGTAAACAGGGAGGGTAAGGTGCTGGGAGGGAGGACGGCGACTGGGTTCTGCTTCTGAATACTGAACAGAGGATCAGGGAGACCACTGCCTGTCAGTCAGGGCCCAAAAATACCACTTTCTGTTCCAGACAGCTTCACGATGCAAAAAGTCAGTAGGGGAATGTTTAAAGACTGCCGCCACTCAAAAATGTCTTCTTATTATTGTTACTTCCCTTGATGTGAGTTAGTCACCAGAAGGCTCCTCTGCTGAAGGAAAGAGGCTCTTTGTGCCTTCCTTAAAGTTCTGTTTGAGAATTTAGTACTTCAGTTACTGATACCTACTCGATTGCAGAGTGCACCAATGTAATTTTTTATACAATAACTAAAATCCCAGAACAGAACATAATGCATCAAGAAATTCTGGAATTGGGAAACACATTTTTCATATGCCTACCTGCAGACAGTAATGCAGAAGCCACCACAAGCTGCAGCCCCCAGGAGGCTACTCATCAGGTTAACGCTGTGGGCTGGAGAGAGTGAGGGCAGCAGACGCATAGCCATGTGAGCCAGTAGAGTGAAGAGTGGGTATCCTGGAGGATGGGCCACCTAAAGACACAAAAACAAAGACAAGGGCCATTTCACACGTGAACTTTTTATCAGGTGCTCCTTTCTTACATGCTGCATGTAGCTGGAGATGTGTTCTTACTGCTATACTAGAGGAAATACTCCATTTGGTTTCGGAAGGGAAGCAGCTTTGATAAAGTGAGTAAGGGGCAAAAACACGTGATTCTGCTCACTACTGTTAAATTCAGTGATCTGCTATTCACACACTGGCACAATCCCAGAGATCTGGCAGGCAAACCACTGATGTTTAGAAAAAGAGCTGCAGTATGTGTAAAAATAGCTCACAATGTGATGCTATCACAATAGGTTTACCACGATGATGATTGTATCACAATAACTTATACATTAAGAGACAATAATCAATGATATATGCACCTTAACTGTGCAACTTTAAAAAACAGAAGACAAATAGAAGAAAAAATGTATTTATTCCCTGCAATGTAGTGCCAGTGTGCATCACTATGAATTACTTTTACTCCATTTCAGTAATGAAACTGTTTAGTTTTTCAGCTCTCTTTTCCCCTTTTAAATTTCTTCTTCTTCAGCTTCTGTTTTCCCTTAATTATGTGATAAGCGCTGGTAGTGACTCCGGTACATCGGGACTGTGTGGAGAGTCCCTACAAAATTTACTTTTAAAAACTCTGATTTTTAACAACAGTGTACCATATCTGTAATTCTATCGCACAAGAAAGGGATTTAATATATTGCTGTATCAACATTTTATCCTCAGCAGGTAAGCACACGTGAATTTTGTGAGGAGTCAGAAACATCCTGCTTGGCTTTACTCTGACTGTGCTGTCATACGAGAGCCCTACACTCCCTTTCTTTTCCCCTTTTCTCACTTCTTTGCTGCGGGCCTCTTCCCAAGGACAGTGCAGCTCCCTAGAGCCCGTGGTATAACACGTGGTGCTCGCCAGCCTCAACCCCCAAACCACCGCAGAGCCGTAGTCATTTTCGCCTGGGAGATCTTGGCAATCGCAGCAATTAGCCACTAAGTCTCTTCCACCCAGATAAGGACTCAGTCATTAAACACAGACTCATTCCCTGGCACAGATAACACAAAGCATGCAGGCAGTGAGAAGGGGCAGCTCTTCGAATGAACAGAAAGCCGAAAGGTGAGAGTGTGACTGACTCACCAGTTACCTCGAACACGGCAAAGGATCTTTTTGCAGACATGCAAACAGCTTTGCTAAAATTTGAGTGAGGAGCTGGAAATGGAAAAGGCGCGTCGCAATAACTCGATGAGCAAAAAGCGAGGCTGTAAATATGAGAGAAAGAGAAAAGCTCCAGCAGCGAGAGTGGTGAACTAAATGGTAGCATCACGCAGGTGGGTAACGTCACCAAAATGAAGAGCGATTAAGAGCATGAGGAAGGACTGTGTGGGCTGACAGCAGTGTACAGACATGCAGCTAAAGGACAGCTGAGCGATAAAGGCCACAGGGAGCAAAGAGAAGGAGAACTCTCAAGCTCTGGGGATCAGAAGAGGGGGGCCAGCAGCCTGGGTCCCAGAGATGGCCTGCAAGGCCCTGGGGAGGCCTGAAAGGCAGACAGGCAGGCCACACGGACTGCAGCACTAACGGCAGGATTACTGGCATAGTGACACCGACACAGCCTCCCTAAAAGGATCACAGCGGCGTAATAAACTTTATTAAATAATAAAACTTATTATAACTGTTAACCCGATTTAGTTCATTCTTCGCGGCTTACACACACACACAAAAAAGAGGGGTGGATATAATAAGCCTTATACCGTACATAAGGCAAAGCCTACAAAAGCCATCGCCTTACCATTGACTTTAATTGGATTTGAAAAACGGGTTGCAAATTATAGCATTCTCTACTTGCAACTTAGTAAAATAAGTGTATAGAAAAGAAGGGGAAAAACCTGTGGACTGAAAGTAAATTAATCTGCTTTCTGCCCATGCTTAATTAAACTTCCTTAATGCTTATAAGAGTTAATGAGTGAATTGATTAAACAATACAGCTAATACTTACCCCCAGCTCACAAGCAGTGGTGATCAGCTCTCCTGTGGAAGAGAATAGGGGAGGAAATTAATGTAAACCCAATAATTATTATTAAGAGACAAGTCTGCTCCCAAAGTTTTCCCAAATCAAATACTTGCACTGGGGTTTTGCATTAATTTGCCAGGATCAAAACCTGCAAATCTTCCCAGTGTGACATTTCCTAAGCGGCACGCTCATTCTCTTCATCTTTCACTTCTCCCCCGATGCCTCCCTCCCTTCTCCGGCACATACACACAGATATAAACACACGCACATACACACAAACCATTAGACTCCCCCTCCAATGCCTTGTCACACAAAGACACACATATGCAGATCTGAGAATAATGCTTCCAGTCCCATCCTCCCCATGCATTAGGGTCCTTTCCTCTCCTCTTTCTTCTGCTGCTCTACGTGCCTCTCTCCTGCTCCCACACTCCTAATGTCTCAATGTCTCGTTTAGTCCGTTGGGCACAAACAGAAAGGCTACGCCGGTGACAGTCACAGAATGAAGTAAGCTGTAAAAATAAAAGCCGGCTGCACAATTTTTTGACAAGCTCTGTGTGAGGCGCAGCACAAAGTGAAAAGAAAACCCCTAAAAGCTTTTTGAGGGAGCTTTAATGTATCTGGGCACAAACCCATTTGTGCCAGAATACACCCAGAGCATTTCAAATTATACTGATTTCTCACCCAATGTTTGCATCTCCCACTCATGAAAATTGAAATTTGGTTCAGATTAAATGACATTGATAAATGTTTAGGTTCAGGACAGCCCCCTCTACTGGTACCAGACGGGTAGTCCCTTCCTCCGTCAAACACATCCAATGAAACGCTGGCCTTGTTTCTTGCAGACTCTATCACTTTTACAAGCTATGTCGAATCCGTAAGACACTACACGCGACTCCATTAAATCACATTAAGGTAAATTAATTTATATTGCTCTCCTGTGTTCACTGGTTTTCAAACATATAGCACGTAAGAAAGAAGAAAAGAATACAGCTGTTTCAATCTGAGCAGCTGTTGGTGCTGTTACATATATTTAAAAACAAACAAACAAACATCTGCACAGTAGGGACATGAGCAGGGATGCAGTAACAACCTTTACAAAACAGAAGGGCTGGATTTCAGATGGCACTGGTTTCCTCTCATATTTTGCAACCTTGCTGATACAGTGAATTACGATGCCTAAATTTCTGCCACATGAGGAGCCCTAACTCTTATCAGTCTAATGGACCATGAAGTCAGAACTCCTCCACCTGCACAGCTTAAATGTTTCCACAGCTCCATTTCACCTGGCATGAGCCGCCAGCTACCTGCCATCATTTAACATCACACTTTCTCATCCTTCATCGGCTTCTCAATTTCACTCATTTTCCCCTTAGAAGTGGCACACTTTTACACCATTCAACACTGAAACTCAAACTAATACCAAGCCAAAACATCCATCTCAGTGCAACAGAGATGCAGTTCTGCAGCCCCAATACTAAAAAGGGAAAATATTGACTCAACGGGGTAGCAGCATGGGTGCCAAGAGTCTTTGTGATTGTGGAGCATGGGCACCCACACCAGTCTTCCCATAATCCCCATCATTTCCACACTCCACATTCCTAGACAACAGCGTACCCGCGGGGCTGCGCTCAAGCCTCTCCAGGGCACATCACACCTAAAGAGATTAGGACACAGAGACGGAGACCTGGAGAATTCGGAAGGGTGTTCAGCTGGCACTATCAGAGCGGGCATCCTGCACCGTCCCTAAACACTGTGGAGAAGGGGCTGGCCATTTTTTCAAAGGCCCTGTTCGTTAGACAGCAGCACAACCAGCAGGGCTACTCAGCACTCCAATTGCCCGCTCTCGCTTCATCTCTCCTCGCTTATATCTGGCCGAGCTTTTCTTATGCTTTCATTCTGCAAAAATGCATTCCCTTCTGCAGCTCGCACGCCAAAGCAGTAAAAACCTAACAAGCAGAGCCTTCATGCCCTCAAGTCCATAATTTACAAGTTTGTAACCTTGGTATCACTTCTAAACACTGTTTGTAATTGTTCAAGGCACTCCTTCATAAACTGCATTACAAGAATGTTGGGAAAACACATCGGAAGGTACTGAGTGGAATACATTCAAGTCCACAGTAAGCCGTGTTAAATGTAAATTAGGTTTATGCATGCACACAAAATATTGAATTTAAATAAACAAGGACAATTATTTGTAGTGAGTGGCTGTCAACAGTGCTTTGTCAGCAATTATGGTGTCTGTGTTACCCAACAGTCAGAAAAATGAAAAAATGCATAAAATGTGGAGGAAAAGTGCAATTAGGTGTGAGTCAAACATGGTTTGCAAAAACATCTAGCAAACAAAAGGTTGCTGGTTCGGTCTGGCGAGAGACACAAATACCTTTTGGGATTGTATCAGGAAGAGCATCCGTTGTTAAAAAATTAATTAATTAATATGTCACAAAATAAAATGAAAATGTTAACAGTTCTGAAAAACATAATATGCAATTATTTGATCTTTTTTTTTTTTAAATTGCAATTTTATATTACAGTACCATTGTACGTATGTGTAGCAGGTAACATTGGGTCAAAGCATATTTTTATAGTAACGACTGAATCACATTTAAGTCATTAAAATGTTTCCTTTTCATTCACTCTTAATAAAAATAGGTGTGAACCAAACTGTGACTTTGGAGAACTGTTATACCTCTACAGACTTCAACGAAATCCAAATAAGTTATGTTATAGAATTACAAGTAAACAAGTACAAGTACAACTAAAAGCAGCTGAGTTTAAAGAACAGAAAAGCATAAGCTACATTAAACTACATCATCCCAAATAGGACAGGAAATTGTTCTTTACAGCACCACCAACTTACGTCAAGATAATTGACGTTAAGATATTTTAAAAGAATAAGAAAGAAAACAAAGAAATAAATACAGATAGTCGTGTATATTTTTGCATTATTTGTTAATTACAGTGACTGAATATTATGAAATAATGCCTTTTGTCTTTACCAGTCAGCGTTGATTCCAAAATCAGCCTTAAACACTGGAAGTAAAAAAGGTATTAGTGTCTCATTTAGAGGTTTTCGTATTTACCGCGGACGATTTAAAAACATGAATGAAAGAATGATTCTTTCAATTTATATATGTGTATCTCAAAGTCTGGCATGTGTTTGTTTACGTTGTCACGTCGACAAACGTCGCTTTACCTGCACTTGCAGCACCATGGACAGCACCAGTCAAGCTGCAGCGGTTTCATCAACAAGGTGCAATATGATTGGCTCCCGGCAACACAACAAAGCCACGTGACCAAATGAGCGTTAGCTAGCCTGCTAGCACCAACCTGAGTCTCCACCGGGGACCGTCCTCTGCACACAGGGCACATACAGAGCGGCGACACAAGCGACCACGGTGCCTGTCAGTATCCAGCTTGCTCTGTGCTCCGCGGACATTTTGTTTCTTTCAGGGGAAATACGGACGATTTTCACTGAAATGTCTCTTAACTAGCGAGCTAACGTTAGCGTCCATATATTCCAGACCCTTCGGGGTATAAATAAAACTTTGATCTACGTCTAAAACGATGTTGGGTAGAGATTAAGTAAATTTAATTTAGTTCTAAGTACAACCTTTGCATAGTCTTCAGCACACTTGCAGGAGAGTGTGCTGAGTTAGGTCCTTCCTGCCCGCGGAAAGTAGCAGCCACATTCACGCCGACTGGCTAACCTCGCGATATTACCGGACACGCTTTCCTCATAAGTTGCATTACTCATTGAATTGCTGTTTATTGCTTTGTAAAGGGAAACAAAAACGAGCGTTTCAAATGAGGACGACCAGTGTTTTATCTCGGACGTGTTGGCCAAGCAACATGGTTATGACTACTTCTTGGTTCACTCAATGTCATTCAGGAATGTACATCAGTCTTCTTTCATCACTTGTATTCACAGAGCTGAACGGAGAGGGGTTGGGTCTGCATCTTTACGCTAGCACGACAGTTTATTTTTCTGTCAAAATTAGTCTAAAAATTGAAAGCCTTTCCTTTTTGCGCTTTACTCATAAATTTAAAAACATACTCAAGTTTTCAGGTTTTCTTCCAAGTATAATATTGTGTGCTAAAATGTACAGAAATGGAAAGAACTCTCAATCTGGCTAACTTGTAAACTGAAACTACATATGCTAATGAAAAGTATGTGTTAAAGTCTAAAGGTTCAAACCAGCTGTTTGTGATTACTATTCATTGCCAGGCACCATTTTGAAGGATCAACATGCAAATATGCATTTTCTAATGCATATGATTTCTCAGTGCATTTCAAGAGCTTTAGTTGAGAGGGACTGCTGAGTATCTCAACTCAAACATAGCCTGCCTTCCCTCATTTGGAGGGGTTGTTTTAAGCCTTACAGTGAAAATGGCATTATTACTGGATTAAAACATTATTATATTAAAGCTGTTACAGTACCTGCTTCAAATGCACAATTACGTGCACAGTAGAGCACTAGATTATGCCAGAAACAAGATACACGAATTTGTAAATGTATCACAAGTGTCCATATTTCACAGGTTGAGAGGTGACTGTAATAAAGAAATTGCCCTATTGAACTGATAATAATCCCAGCCCACCATAAATGACTCTGATCCTTCAGTAAATTGAGCCCTTGGTGAGGTGGAGTGGTGTCAGCACCTAACCAACTCTCAGATGGCTCTCTAATCCTCCCGTCCCTCTCACCACCACCCTCACCGTCTAATCAGACTTGAACACACACATAACACTCACACCCATCTGACACACACAAACCAAAGTACTCACCCTTCCTCATACTGGGGCTCAGCCATCTCTTCAGTGTGATGTCACTGCTAATCCAAGCTTGGTTATCCACTGGGGTGCAGTGCTGGCAAGAGGGATGTGGGGAGGAGATGGGATGAATTTGTGGTGGTGGATGGTGGGGGGTGAGGGGTAATCAGGCACGTCATAAAGACTTCTCTCTAAAACCATCACTTCCATTAGCCCCTACCACATAGAAAGCTAGTCTTGTACCCAAACTGTACACATATGCGCAAATGCTCATTGGAGCGCCAATATGGACACATTTCAGCTCTGATATTTGAGATAAAACACAACTGTAGGCACATTCGCAGCCATGTAGCTCATATTTGGGGCACAGAGAAATCATTAGAGAGCCAGCTGGATTAAGACCCCCCCCCCCCCCCCCCCCCCCCACCCCCCGTTCTATCCCATGCATTCACAAAATAAACGCAGGGCCTTTATATTGACAGCTTGTCCAAAGAGAGGAATTACCCACGTGGTTGAGGCCCTCGCTCCATATGGCGGCAGGCTATTAACAAACATTAGTTGACTGTAATAGCAGCAGTATTAAATTCATTATCTTTTTCAGATTGTATGTGAGGTGTGTGACTTTGTATGCGTGTGTTTGTGTTTGTGTGGAGTGCCCACACTGTGTGCCAGCGTGTGTGATTAGAGAGTTCTAATGTTCCAGCTCTGGGGATTTGTAGCATAAGATAAGAAAGGGCATTAACGGTGAATTGTGACGGTCTAGTGGAGCAAAACTGTTGTTTAAAATGTGCGTATGCTTTCTTTGCCGAGTCCTTTTTACATGAAAAATTAGCATTTTGTCTCAGATTTTTGTTGCTGATTTTTTTTTAACTCAATGCTATACATACAGAAAAAGAGCAGCCACGCATGAGAAAGTGGCTGACTGCAGTTCCATCTATTTGATTTTGTATTTTCCTCACTTAACCTACCACATATCTGTTTTAATCTTACCTTAAGCATCCTTGAAATGAGGTGTAATCCACTTAAGCCCGTTTGAATCTGCTTCACAGCCATATTACACCCATTCGTCGACTCATAAACATTCTCTCTGCTAAACAGCTGCACATTGGCGGTGTCCACGAGCCAAATTGTACATTGTGTTGACGGAGAAAGATTAAAACTCTGCAGTATTTGCACTTGCAAAAAGAGCAGCCATGTTTACTCAACCTTCTCTCGCTTACAATCAATGGGCAGCATGCAGACAGGGTGAGAAATAACTGGATAGGATGTACTTTTCATAACATTGGCTCTGTGGGCCACTGCAATGCATATGAAATAAAACAATCAAGATGCATTTGATGTGCGCACTCTCAGCTTTAATTGAGGGGGTGGAACAGTTTTATACACAGCCCTACCACCTCCTCCCCCTTTGGCAAAGTCTCAGATGCAATTGGACAAATTAACATAATCATAAATAAAATGCTAATTTTTAATATGTTGTCAAGAATCCTTGGCATGCTGCGCCGATTGGCTGAAGCCTGGAACCCACAGACATTAACCGGGGGAGTGGATCTCTTGTTGTTGTTTCTGGTTCTTTCTGACTTATTTGTCTTCATTCAGATGCATGCTGTTAATATATCAGCCCATGGATATTAGTGTACAGTGAGCACCATAAAAGTGTATAGCATGTAATTACAGTACATAGTGCAAAACTACTTTTCACATCCCTGAAAAACAGTCTCACTTTTTTGTCCAATAAAAAAACAGGTTAATGCATGTTTGGTCACATCGCTCTGGGAATATCATTTGGAATCGTAACGAGGTAATTTGATGTTTTTGTTCATGTTTTGTGTGTTTTTAACAAAATTTGGTTAATAAAGTTAGATCATTCTTCTCTGTGTACGTTCACTGTGTCCTTTCATTTAAAGCTGCCTCTCTTTTGCTCCACACAGCCTGGCCCAAATACTAGTCAAAAGACAAAGCTGCGAGAAACAACAAGCATTAACGCTGTGCTCTTTTGCAAGTGGAAAAAATACAACCATTCCCTGTAAAATGTACATGTAGCGAGGCCTTGAACCACAGAATAGGTCTTCAGAGAGATTAATTCTCCTCTGTGATCCAGTTCTCATTACAACAAGCAGGGGACTCAAACACACATAATAACAGGGCTGACTGCTGTTCCTTTGTAACATGTGGCTACTTAAATGATCCTAAATAAGATAGATGACAAGGATAAAGCAAATCATAATCGGCATTTTGCACAATGGAACATAATAGTCTGCGGAGAACAAGGGACAACATACAGAGCTCCTGTTTTCATCGCCTGGAGCTGCACACCTAGTCGAGAGCAATTAAAATGAGAGGATTCAATTTTGTCAAACACCAGGAACCTGAGATAAATCTTGTATCTCATTTTCCAGCGTGAGGACACTCCCTCGTGTCGGTGCTATCATGTTTGTTATGGTATTTTTAAGAAACAGCTGGCTGCCGACAGACTTGGTAAAACAACCCCACCCCTGCCACCCTCCCACCCTTTCCCCAAATCATGCTAATCCCAATCATTTCAGTGTGAGACGCAGGGGTGAGGAGACGTTAGAGTCGGGTGAGGCTGTGAATAAAAGATGGTTTTAGACTGAAAATTTAGACAGAGCAGAAGGGGGAGGAGGGAGAGAGCAAGGCGGCACGTCACTGCATGGTTTCCATGTGGGAGCAATCCACTTACTTGAACTGATAAAGATTTAATTAACACAAGACTCTGCAATTACTCCATAATTAAAGTAATTTGTCCTCTTGTTTGGATGAGTAGGCAAGACGCCGCATGTGCCCGTGTAAGAGCAGACAAGAGAGGAAAAAAAAGGGGGGCGTGAGATGCTCAGAGAGGCAAAGTATGCCCCCACTTTAGTATTTGAATTTAATGCTTGATTTTCCAAACCTATTTTTCCCCACATATGTTCTAATGAAATATTTGTATCGGCTTCTCTTTAGCCCTGTGTTTATTTGCCTTTTATTTGACAACTCATTTGTTATTCATTGAGAAAGTAATAAGCTGAGTAGGCTGAGTACAAAGTATCATCAAGAGCCACATGAAATAGTAAATAGGCCTGATATAATCATAATCCTCTTCAAACTGCACTGCATACAGCTTTGAATTGTGTAGTGCTACAGAGCTGGCTGCAAGCTAAAGGAGACAAATGCACGCACACACATACAAAAAGTGGGATGGTTTTGTTTGACAACTCAAATTGCATGACTCAGAAGTGAGAGGAGAGTCCTGTGTGAGGTGTTTGACCTTGGGCCTGGATAACAAAGGCTGGACCTGACTTAAAGTAAGACATGCAGGTGTTTGATTGAAGCAACAATTAGTGACTAATCACTCGAGACAGAAATAGCGAGGAATTAGCAGCAAAGTCCAATATGTGGCACTGTGCTGTGGCAGTCCAATTTGCAAGAAGATTTAAAAAAAAATAAAAAATAAAAAAAGACCTGCCAAGTTTACTATTAAAAAACCAGGGAGACAAATGTGTCTTGTGTTAGCTTCTGAGGGTTGTATGTGCTGTTACTTAATTTACACGAGGGGAAGAGCACTATCTCTTATTTACAGATGATGATCTGCATATAATTTGCCTCAGTTGCACGCTGGGTAATTGAGGTAAATATCACAGCATTCAACTTGCCAGCTGAGGTATCCCGCTGATAGCTTGGCGTACAGCCCGCAGCCACCTGTGGCATTTCACATGTTGGGTGAAATCACAGGGCAGACAGACAAAAAGAAAAAGAAAACATGTAAGGCAACTAAGGCACAACTCTGAATACAACCTTCAGATGTGTAACAGCTGGATGATTGACAACTGTTGTTGACTTTAATCCAATAACCTATATATTGCTGGCTGTTGTTAGAGGGGGAAAAAATCTCATCTAAATATCTGAGGAAGTGGCACGATCACTGCTTAAAAGTTTCAGTGTTTTTTGGGGGGTTTTTCCAAGGCTGCATGCACTTACAACTGATTGCCCCCCCCGCCCCACCAGCCACATTTTGAAGCCAGGCCTTGAAAACTGTTTGGATTTCATTACTATCACTATGTGCAGGGGCCTACCCAGAGGAGTGTGGAGATGTACAGCATATACTTTTTCACTGATCTCTGAGAAATAATTGCATTAACCCTATACCTATATAGTTTGCAGCTCACTTCTCTCAGCTATCAAATTAAAACTACTGGAATGCTTAAATACTTTATTTAGTAAGAGTGAATTTCTTTTTGCCATTGCCCACCCAAAAACTCTAAATGCTCTGTCTGGATACAGGTAATGGTTTCCTCTTATGCTGTTAATATTCTTAAAGACGCCACCAATATATCATTACAGCACTGGATAATAAAGTTTCTTCTAAAACATCCTAATTTTCCTGTTTGGAAAACTCACTTAACAGGAGCAAACTTGCAAGCTATCATTGTCAATACACCATCTTGTTTTAGGCAAATATGACAGCTTTGTGCTCTCTGATTGCTCAGTCAACCAAACAAAAGGAACCTTTTAGTACAATTATAATACAACGACTCCCACTGAACTGCAAAATGGCCCCATAAAAGTTTAAAAAAAAAAAAGGGGTGGGGGGATGATAGGAGGATCATCGTTTGTGTAAATTCTCAGCATTAGTGCAGGACATGCACCTCATTTCTTACTCATGAAACTGAGAGAAGGGAAAAAGAAGTATCATCCTGCTTTATTTGCATAACCCAGCCCTGCTTAGGGGCAGGGGGACCCACCAAGTGATCTCAAAATTAGCATGCTGTCACCTTCAGTGTCTCTTCTGTCATTAAGAAAAACAGGCAAGTGTGCAGACATATGAACCTATTTCACATCTACTGCAGAAATGTTAATTAGGAAGCACGGCATCCCACAGCTCCGTTCCCCTCCCTGTGCCAGAATGACATGTTATGCATTTAAATCCTTTTCATGCGTCCTTATTATAGAGAGGATGAAGTCACATGCGAATGATGGAAAATATCATCATGGTACAATATTTTTGCATGTACACTAAAAAAAAAAAAAAAAATCCTAAAAGCTAAATATTGCACACAACTATGCACTCCTTATACATCACGCCAGGATTTAGATGGGGATAAAAGACTATTATAATTAATTTGACTGCATAAGCAAAAACATATGGTATGTAATAGATTATATATTTAGTTTGAACTGATTAGACTGTTCTGATAGCCTAATTGGAGGATTTTAGTCCTCACTGGCATGCCAATTTAAATAATTCAATTTCTGATGTTTCATATGTATTTTTGATGCATTTATATTTCGTGTTTTTCATAACCAACATCAAACTTTTATTTATTTGCTGTGTTTTCAAGCTATTGGATCCCGCAGGCTCAGTAGCTTGAGAGGCATAATGCCAAAGGCGCTATTGTTGAGGAAACAGTGCCCTCCTGTGGTTTCATAGGGAAACTGCATACTTTAAAAAAACTACTGAAAACAAGGGGCTACACTCATGCAGTCATTCTCTAATAAATATTAAGATGAAGCTGATAAGATAGAACAAGAAATGTGAATAAAACAGACTTGAAGAAAATTCTCTGCCTTATCTGGAAAAAAATACTGATAGAGCAATCACAATTCAGAGCCATTTTGGCAACCAAGATAGGAGAAATGCTCATACAGAGGAATGATGAAACACATATGTAACTGTGATTAAACATTGCTGCTATGTTGGTTGTGCGAACACAGCTGAGACATCTGGAGTGTTCAAAGGCAGCCACTAAATAAAAACCAACAAATCCCCATCAGCTGCACGCAGCCCTTTAAAAATCGGTGGATCACTTTAAAAGGAGTCCCTGAACATTACCCACAAGTATGAAATAGAAACTGTCAGTCAGAGTGAGAGAGAAATCCAACTTGGTGCAGAGTGTTTTTAAAAAATATTTTATTCTTTGCAAAGGAGACATTAGGAGCATCAGTGCGTTCTATGGCTTGTGTACAGAGTTCCTGCTAGAGACACAAAAATAATAATAATAATCATAGAACAAGCCCTTGGGTGAACTGTGGGCCCCACCCATGTTTACCGAGGAGGAATGTTTGAGGCAGCTACTCTTGCAGCTGTTACAGAACACAGTCTTAAGCAATGGACACAGTGTTTGAGCCGAACGCACGTGAGGTTAGAAGGGAATGCTACCGTACAGTATGTGGCCTAGTGCTTGACCCAGCATGGCAGTTAAATAACATCAGCAGAAATCAAGCGAGTCTGAAATGCTCTGTGGTTAGAGGAAAAGTGTAATGCTGCTGACATTCTTAACAATGCCAAATATGTTTCTCTTCAGAGGGAAGCGGAAAGAAAAAACAAAATAAATTAAAAATACCATGTCCAGGACAAAGGCAGATTTCCTCCGCCTCAGATATACCTCTGAATTTTTTAATTATCATAATAAAGTCTGGGAAAACCTAATGCTATATAATAGAACATCGCCCTTGACATCTCATTGTTTTAATGCTCACTATTGTATTTCATAATCTAATGTTGGAAACGACACTCGTTTGGGCACAGTCTGGAAAGCTAACATCATGGACAGATTTGTCCCAGATTCTTCAGTTTTCAATTCATCTGCTACTTTTGTTTTGGACAACTTGACTCATCCACACACAATAGAACTTACCAAATTTGGCACAGAGTGTGATAATATCATTGTTCCCCATGAAGCGACTGAACAGCCTTGACTGTAATCCAGAGCTGTCAACATTCCACCACAGCAGCAGCAGTAGCAGTTTGGGGGTAGCATTGTTTACAGAAACACTTTGGATTGGAGGAAAAAGTGGCCGTCGCATCTTGCATGCGGAGAGAAAACAGCTCCTCCTTATATTTGGTATAATCTCTGGATGCTGCTGAGACTGTGCCCAGGTTCGACAGCGTACAAATCATTGGATCAAACCCAGCGTGGGGATAAAGCTAACAACAGTGCAGATTGAATACAGTGTGTCTGTGTGTGTTTGTGTGGGGCAGTGACAGCTAGCAAGCAAGCAGGTACGCTTGATTCATATGGTTGTACGGCTCCGGCGATTTATTTAACTGAAAGCAGGCTTCGATCACACCTTGAAAGCAAGTTGTATAATCAAAGCACCACCAGCGAGAAGGGTCAATGCATTTCAGTACATTCATTGTCAAGCCCCTGCGACCTTGTGTTAAATCCTGCGTTCTCTCTGGTAGCGTTTTGGGGATCGGGGTGAAGCGATGCAGGGTGATTTTAACGGCCCGAGGGCACCCACGCAGTCCAATCCACACGCACACAATCACACAAACATGCACGCACACATACGCTCAAGCATTCTCACATACATTATATATGCTGGAGAAAAATATATTAACATTTGCATTAAAAAACAGTACAAGGGCCTCAGTGTAATAAAATACCTCTGGTGTTAGAATCTGTGTGGGTCGTTATTTTTCTTACACCTTCTGCAAAACTATCTCTCTCTTTACCTTCAACAAAATATCTTTTTGTCAACTATGAAAAATATTCCCATAGTTTGATGGGATTTGAGGCACTGGATTATATCTCTGTACATAAAAAGTCTTCCCCCCAACTCTCCCTCAAAGTTTGTTCGGCAGTTAGAAACCGCCTCCGGAGAGCTACAAGATGTTGATGCCGTTACGGGTTAAGGACCAGGATATCAGTGTGGACCATTTAACAAGTTAACTATTAAAACTTCCATCTTCACCTGGCTTTTCTCTCAGCCAACAGTCCAGCTGTCTGGCTCTGTAAAATCTTGGTTTCAGGCCCACCAGGAACTGAATTATATACCCTCCCCCACCCCAGCCCACATATTTCCCAGAAGACTCAACTACACCTGCTTGCTATAATTTGGTTCAGTCTGATTCATGAGTAAATTCAACTCATTCCTTCTACAACCTTAGTGTTACAGCCCTCTGATGGAAAACCAGCAGGCATTGTAGTTTACAGCCCAGCACTGGAGCTTTGTTTAAAGAGGTTTGTTGGCAGGACAGCTAAAACAGTATTTAATTCTGGAGGAGCCGTGCGTCTGTGGTCCAGTGTGCTTCACATCTCTGTATCCTGCAGTGGCCATCCAAACAGCCACAAAAGGCCCCGAACAATCTGTAATGGCTCTCTATTGTCAATCCACAGTACATGACCAGAACCTGAAAAAGGCTCGCTTCGTTCCAGAGCTGGCTTACATAAATGAAAGAAAGCACAAAATAATCTTTCACTGCATGTCAGCATTCCTGTTTAATCTCCTCTGCCAGAGCAAGACCCCTTAAACTCAGTCCACCGGACCCTGGAAGATTAGCTTGGAATAGCCCTGAGTTGGGCCAAGTTGGGTGGCGCAAAAGGGGCAGGCTGCGTGGAAGGCGTGAGTGCCGTGGGGCAGAGGGATCTCTGACCAGTACTTGACCGACTTCTCTGAACACACATGTCCGCATGGCACGAAGGCGTATGTGGGTGCACCTGTGTCCACGTAGAAGGCCGGCTCGCAGCCCAGCCACAGTGGCACGTAGGGCCCCACCACCCGGCACATGGGACACTCTCGCTCAGTGTTGGCCTCCTGCTCCGAACGGTGGCCCCAGTTGTGGTAACCGTGCACGTGACCGCACGCCAAGTACACCCAAGGCTGCTTGTCTTCCAGAGATGAAAGGGCACGACTCCGGTGCATGCTGGGGAAGGCGAGGGTATTGAGACCCACAGGGCACTGGGGGCGCGCTGCATTGATCTCCTGCCTGAGTGCCTCCAGGTGCTTTTGCGTGGGAGTGTGGAAGAGGCCTTCAGCAGTGCGCCACAGCAACGTTGCTCCACACAGATCCACCAGGGAGCCGTCCTGTAGAATATTGCTCTCATTCTCCACCTGCGGAGGATAGTGAAGTGCGCACACATTTACCTTCTACATGGGAAAAAAATCCACTGCCTATGACATGCTGATATTTCTTATTACTACATTGTACTACAGACTGACAACCTTTAGTTCCTGTTACTGCTGAGTTTCAGACATAAGTCCCACCCAAATGCCATTTAAACCTTTTGTGTACAATAGGCGACTCAGCAAACATGGATTATTTCAGACTTTGGATCAAGATAATTACTTATTCTGATTTGGGACTCATTCAAAGCTACTCTAAAAGTGGCTGTGGAAGAATTAAAATAATAAACATAACAGGACCACTTTAATATTCTAAAGTATTTCTCTAACATCACAGTGTCACTGCATACATACACTGATACATTTTAACTTTTCAACTACTCACCAGTTTGCCTGGGGTCTGTGCTGAGCGGGTCTCTCTCAACGTGTAAACATCCCCACAAACAGAGATCTCTCTCCACACGCCGGGCTTGGACTCCTCAGTGAATCCCCCCTTAGGGTGCATTACCAGCACACCATTGGTTGTTAAGCCGTCCATGTGACCATCAGGGTTTTTCCATTTTGCAGCTTTTTCCTACAGGCAAGACAGAAAATGGATGATGACACAAACTGACATGATGTGTGGCATTTCACTTTTTACGTAACAGTGCATATGAAACAGTGGTTTTCTTTATCTGGTTACAAGCTTCAAGGATTAGAAGCACTAAAAAAGAAAAAAAAAAAAAAGGCAGCCATGTAACCTTACAGGCTAAAAAAAGTAGCATAGATAGAGATGGTGCATAATCACAATGGTACACCGAGTTGTAATTACCCCAAGGAAGATGTTTTTGGACGTATCAAATCCGGCTGCATAGATGCGAGCGGTGTAGGGGGGGGTGCGTTCGCAGACAATTCGGCAGGCAAAACGAGAGATGGTACTCTGCGTGATAAGAGTCTCTTCACCCTCCTGACCCCCTGCTATTGTATCAGTCACCACAAAGTCTATGGGACTCTCAGTAGAACGCCCAATCTGCAAAAACAACACAAAAATAATAATTAATATTATGCTGTACTGCACAACAGTTTCGAAAGAATCTCAAAATAGTGCAATCAATGAAGAAAGGTTCTTTTTAATTCATACCAGACACAGCAACTGTTCTGCATCCTGCTAGCTTATGTACGTGCACAAGCAAACACACACAGAGTATCCATATATATTTTAATGGGCATAATTTTCAGCACTTGGAAACAGTTCAAGCTGAATAAACAGAGGCAAAAATAGGCTTTCCTCCTTTCATTTCCTCTTTTTCCCCTTACACTGTCCTGAAGTTTTGGGTGGCTTCCTCTTCTCTCTGGTGCGTTCAGTATTGTTTAGTCACATGGGGAAGATAGGGTGCTGAATATGAAGCATGTGTCTGTAACATTAACATCCCTTGGCTCATCACTGCCTTGCTGTACGTTCAGATTAATACTGGAGCAGTGTAAACCGGGCACAGATGATTTTTATTTATATGATTGGACGTGTTTTTGAACATTTATACTTTTTGTGTGTCTTAACTTGCTTTTCTGCTATTACAACACTTAATTTTCTTACTTACTTTACTTATTTTACTCTGTGAAAAGCATTTTATACATAAATGTTTAACTTTACAGTCTAATCAGGTGGTTGTGTATAACCAAAGTGGCTAAAAGAGCCCAAAGACACCTTGTCAATCAGTCAAATTAAAGCTTACATCCATATTTTCATTTATCCCATTCATAAAGAGCCATTTGAAATGACAATCTAAAGATATAGCAATTACTGTTCTGACAGCCTTTGAAGCCCCTGTAGGCAATATAACAGAACACAAACAATAAAAGGGCAATAAAATCTTTGCAACAACTGTCAGTCCTTAAAAAAACAAAACAGGTTAAGTAGCATCAAATTCAAACAACATGTCTTAGCCACAGAACTAGCAGCTCTCCTGCTGTTAAAAATACAGCCACATCCTGCCATGGGAATGGGGAACAGGCTCTGACCATTTTTGGCTGTCAGAGAGGAAATACTCCTCCTGGCTTTACTAGATCGAAACTGGTAATGTTAGGTATAGAAGTACATTAAAAAAAAAAGCAGAACAAAAGCCTTTTTGTTCTATGTTTTCTGACTATAAAGAAGTACTGTAATCGCTGAGAAACTAATGTACGGGGTGTGAATGTATCTGAATGCAGTTGTGTGCCAAAGTAAAAGTGAACGGACTTTTACCTGAAACATATCTGTGTCTTTATCATGGCTGTACTCTACCACTACGGTGTGGTTCCTCGATAGCGTGTAGGAGATACTGTGCTGACCTTTACAGCTCACAGCCTGAAATGTGAAAACAAACAAACAAAAAACCCAACTTGTTCATAACAAAGTACACAGTGCAACAGTATAATAAATCATCATCCAATCTGTGGCTTTATCACCGGATCTGAGAGTGCCAAACAGCACAGCAGAACTACAGTAAAACCTTCCTTGCACAATCCTTTCCTCGTTGGTGAGGTTAAATTAAAGACCAGAGCAAAAGTCAAACCCACTATTAAAACACATGGCACTTAAGTGATGATTCACTTCCTTAGAATCAACAACTACGAGGTGCTCCTGGAAGAAAACATGTTATTGTCCTTATTTTTGTTTTGTTATTGACAACTTGGAACATTTCTATGGATTATTAGCGTGCATGTGCGGTTTTTTACAGCTCACAATTAAGCCAAAGCTCTACAGGCTTATTGTGTAATTTTGTCATGATGTTACCAAAATCCTAAAACCTATTACAAGAATTTTTTGGGAAGCGGAACAAAAAAAAAAAAAAAGACTGTGTAAAGTCACACTCGCAAAACAGTGACCATAAACTCCCTGCTGGCCTCGGTTAACACAAGCTCGCCAGGCAACTGAACTGCTTCATGTCAGTGTAGCGAGGAAGGCTTGGTTAAAGCCCGGCCCCAGCTTCCATCAACACTGTACCACATGCCATCTCTGCTCTAATCTGCAAAATTCCATTTCCTAAACATCCCCCTCCTCTTCGTCACGTGCAGGAGGGAAAGCGGGAGAGGGAAAGTGGGTCATCAGAGCTGCCACGGTCTGCTGTAACATCAGATGCACACGGGGACAAATGTCATCATCGCATGCAGTCTTGTCTTGACTGCGCTGCTACAAACAAATGGTGCTCCACCTGTTAAAGAACTAAAAAAGGAGCAGTGCACACACAAATATGTATTTTTTATAAACGCTACGCCCCCAAAATATCCTCCCCCAACCTTCCCGAGTGGTAGGAGTTGGAATCATAATGTTTTGAATACGAGGCTGGCAGTGGCATCATGGGAGCTCCTCATTATCTGCCATGAACACTAGAGTGTGCACCGACACGTGAGCTCTCCCTCTCAGCCGCAGAGACTCCTCAGCTCATTCGTATGCTGCACTGGAAGGGAGCAAGAATGGGTTACAGGGGGTGGGCTTCATTTTAGTGATTCACCTCTTTAATACCCCCTTCTCCTTAAAATAAGCTGACCACCCAGCTCGTCTCTTACAGAATGGCCCTTTTTTGACCGTTTATACACCTGGATGAGCCAGGTCAGCATAAAGCAACAACCCCTGAGCTCATCCTTCAAGTCCCATAACACGGTGCCAGGGTCGAAGTGGTCAGTGAAACAGCCAGTAACTAATGTAATGCACAGTAAAAACAGCCACATCTAATGCAGATAGCAAACTATCTGAGACGTAATTTATGATGTGGAGCAGCAGAACACTTCAGCCATATTTCACAGCACACTGCAGCTCAAACTCAAACAAAATAAAGCGCAATCTCTGCCATGAAAAGGCCTCTGTCACTGAATCGTCCCAGAGCAGATTTCTGGATTCCGCAACCTGACAGTAACCTGAACCAGACAGCCTTTTAGCTAAAAATGTCAAACACTGGTCTCCAAGTGGTGCAGAGGTAAGTGGGTCTTGTCTGATGTTTAGCAGTTTCGCCTAGGAACCGAAGGTAGGAATGCAGGAAGGCAAACACGTTTTACTGGATGTGGCACTTCCCTGCAGGCAGCCTGCCGTGAAGAGAAACTCTGAAGCCCAGCTAGGAACTAGTCATTGTAGTGGAAATGTCAACATTAAGGTCTGCCAACAATAATGTAAAGTGCTTTTCACAGCACAATTTACTAGCTACCACAATCACTAAAAGGCCATTCAGCTGCTGTGGGAAAAAAAACAAACAAAAAACCCCCCCCAAAAAACAAAGGGGGTTCATTTATAGAAATTATGCTTTCAACTTCATATACAGCCAAATCTTCTTATGTATATATGCAAAACAAAAAAAAAAAAAACAAAACACCCCCAAACTATTACCTAAAAAAAAAAAAAGAAATATCACCTCCTTCTTCTGTTACGTTTTTGCACACTTTCATACATTTTGTCTGAAGAAGAAAGGCAGACAGATGTTCAATCCCACTGAGAGCCTGTTCATTAAATCACTTTAAATCATCCTTCTGTACCTTGGTGGCCTGGGGTGTGTTGAGGACGTGCACAGTGCTTGGTGATACACCATTGGGTTTGATTCTCTTGTATAGAGCAAATCTGCTTTTCCGTCTACCGCGATCTCCGTTGGGCAGGGAGCCATTGTACCTGTCAGAGACGGGACAGGGTGGAGAGAAGGACAGCAAATTGACAGTTATTTATTTATTTCATCTGTGTGAAAATGCTAACAGCTTCCATAGCTGCAAAAAGATGTGTCTAATGAGATTTACAGGCAAAAGTCTTGTAATCATATAAGAAGTAAACACGGAGAATTAGAAACATTCGTGTGTTCTGAAAAGGAGATTTGCCACGCATTACATCACTGACAATCTAATACACCCTATTAGTAATCTAAGCGTTACCTTGGATAACGGCTCTTATTACATAATGCACTCTGGTGCTGGTGATTTCAGTGTGCGTGCACTGTGTAAACTGCAGCTGTTCTTTTGCTCTGTGTCCCAGGCAGGAGCACGTTTTAAGATGCATGTCAGGTTTGCTATCATTTTGGGAATGCACGGTCTGGGTGGATGACTCAGACACATTCTTTCAAAGATGAATTTTATACACGGATACAGCTTACAAAGCTATCTGTTCCGTTTCCAAAATCATTTAATAACAGACTCCAGTTTTGCCCTTTAGTGTGCTGAGAGGCACCTAGCCTAAGCTGCTCTTTGTGAATGAAGAAGCCCCTTCCGGTACAACTGGTCTTCTTTCTATCCACCAGCTGGTTCCTACAGCTGGAACACCCCATGCTCGACTATCATCCAACACACAGACCTTCTGTCACACACTCACATAAACCACAAATGTGCTGAACAGACACTTTGCACAAGATACACATTTATATTATATGCCTCAAGTTTGCACACCAATGTATCGGAGGGGAACAGAGTCTACGAGCCAAATGTAATCTGACATTTTTCCTTTCTGTTTCTGAACAATAGCAACAGAACCTCCTTCTGCTCCTTCCCACCTCCCTCCCAGGCTAGTCCACCTGTCCCATGTCTCCACACGGCTGGCCAGGCAAAGAAACACATGGTCCTAGTCAGCACAGTGCACAAAGCTGGCCTGTAGGACAAGCCACCCACAGAGAGCTAGAGAGGCACTGGAAGATTCTATGGACTAAATGCAACAAATACAAAGACAGAAAGACAGGAGGAAAGTGTCAAATGACAGCAGACCTGCTTACCTTCTCTCCTAAAGTGTTCAGCTTTTACTTTTAGTGGTGATTACTGTCTGATCGTACTCCTTTCAAGGCCATTTCAGGGATTCTATTTCCATGTCATTAGACCAGTGCACACTTTAAATGCAGACCCTTACACAGTTGTGAAATCTTGGGCTCCAAAAGCCTGAGCTGGCCTTCTCATGCTGCTTTCAAAATAAAGTACAAGTGTACAAGACATAAGTTACATTAAATCTAAAGAAAAATAAAATAATGCCCACTTTCCCCCCATTTATATAGTAATTGTGTTGCTTTCATTTACAAGTAATCTGTAAGAGAAAACAAATAAAGCCCCTTTATTGATGCACACATTCCTAAGCTAATTTCACATGGTTTGTTCTCTGTACTCCACTTTTATTTGACCTGCTCTAAAAACACCCCACCTAAATAAAGACCAGCCAGCCCTACATAAAGATGTCTTTTCAGTTTAGGGGGGTCTACTGGCTGGCTACCTGCCCCTGTGTGTCTCATACAAAGCACACAATCAAATGCTATCCAGCTTAGTGTTTTTGCCATGATGAATTCTGACTGGAGAATATAACCCTAGCTCTGCAAGAAACGCAGCATATGCTTTCAATTATTCAGCATTATACCGAGGAACAATATTCTGTCATGCAGGAACTGCCACCGTCACATTAGCTAGGACAGGCTCTTTAAAGCTGCATTCCAACTAATTGTGATCGCTTTCCCTTTTGACCCGTGCCAGACAGACAGCGGATTTACCTTCCAATACTTAGCAGCAGGGATTAGAAGACTCTGGCATATCACCTATCCTCCAGGGTTGCGGTAAGGAGCCAACAGCACCTCCTACTTCCTATGCTAACATGAAAGGCTAGTGTTCACAGAATGAGGAGAAGATATGCTGAATAGCTGTAACACTCATTAGAAATACAGAAAGTTAGGTTAGGCTTACAGGGTCACACAAGATGATTTCTAGGTCACTAGGACTTCATCTAAATCAATCTAAGCTGTAAAAATACATAAATAATACATCATTAACAGACAACCAGATGGCATGATGAGCAAAGACAGTATGAGTCAACTAAATGAGCATCATCCACCCATTTTCTTATCCATTTATCCAACTTAGGGCAGCAGGGGTGCTGGAGCCTAGCCCAGGCGTCACGGGGTGAGAGGCTGGGCACATCTTGGCCAGGCTGCCAGTCAATCACAGGGCTGACCCAGAAAGACAGACTACCACATACTCTCCAATGCATATTTACAGCCAATTCACAATCAACAAAAATCCCAGTGGCTCTCAAACCTCTTCTGGCATACCCCACTTTACTTTATATACAAGTAAGCACAATAGCATTAGCCAAATCTGGTTTGGTAATAAACAAAAGTCTCTCTTTTGCCTAGTTGTTCATGCCCTGCAGTTTCTGAACCTCTGAATTACCTTAACATGAGTGTGTTTGGACTGTGGGAGGATCCTGCTGCAACTGGAAAAAAAGGAAAAAAAGGAAAAAAAAAAAACCTACGCAGGCACAGGACGTACATGCAAACTGCACACAGAAACGCCTCAATGCACCAAGAGGTTTGAATACTTGTTGAGTGGTGATCATGCTAACCACTGCACCACTCTAGATTAAACCAGTTACACCTGAAATCTTTAAATGCTTCTATTGTAGTACTGACAAAAAACCCCAGAAAGAGATGTCTCTTCTCTTTATACCATTTAAATTACATAATATTAATAAAAAGGCACGATCTATGTCAGTCTGTACCAAAGATGCTCCCAAGTTGATTTGTACACTTTCCTTTAATGAGTGGTTCTCTAAGGCAAAATGTAGAAAGTTCAATCAATAGGCCTAGTCTCCCTGCCACAATGGACAGAGGAAGCTGAAGAGAGGCAAAGGCTGAGTCCTGATCAATCCATCCTTTCATTTGCAGGATACCCATGCAGCACCCCCTCCTCATCCTGCCTCCTTTCACTGACCAGCACCAAGCCAATCTGCGGCGGCAGAGATGGAGGGGCAGCCATGCAAGTAATAAGAGCCACCACGGTCATGGCAACAAACCACTGAGGGAACTGCTGCTCAAACAAGCTTTGTTCCATGCTGTCAGCTATCTTGTCTACCATCAGTTTTATCAATGGGATGTGATGTCATGGCAGTGATTATACACCCGTCACATCTGATTCACATATGTGTCTTTATGTCAGGAGAGGGAACAAAAGTACCAGCTTCAAACATGCCACATACTGAGCCTGGGGTAATAAGCACTCAGCACTTTTTATCCCTTACAATAAGCACTATGACTGCGAGTGTATGGGTGGAGGGCAGTGTACAAAAACACAGTGTAGTCTGCTCTCTGTGTAAGCCATCATTTCAGCACCTTATTTCAAATACTGTAAAGATGAAAGTCACACAGCCGCATGGACACCAGTAAATCTGAACTATAAAAATTTTATAACTTTTATAAGCGCCTCAGGACTGGCCATTGGCCAAAGTTCAGTCACTCATGTTTTCCATCATCTGTTGGCCAAGACAATACAGACAGGATGAGAAGGTGACTGTTTAGAAGGATAGCTTGTGGCAATTTGTCCTAAATGAATTCTAAACAACCAAACAAAAACACACAAAACAAAATGAAAAAACAAAACAAAAACAAAAAGAGGACAAAGCAGTTATGATATAATAAAGGTAAAAGTTACACTGGCTTTATTCGGTGACAACACAGATGTGAGTAACTGCTTATTTTGTTTGCCTTTTTACATTAACAGACTGTCTGTGTACTTTCTGATATTATCCAGTACAAGTGGCAACTGGATAGTTACAGAATGAATGCCAAATAATTCAAATACTTAACAGGAGTAGGTGTGCTCTTCTACAAAAGGCTTTTAAATGTAAAGAGTGATGTGAAAAACAAAGATTACTTCAACAAATAGCTTGAAAATGACCAGCGCATGCCAGCTATCAATACATCTGATGGGCAAAATAACAGACGGACAGAATATTACCATCTTTTTTGATAAATAATGCTTTAAGTCATAATTCCTTGGCAGTTTCTTTCCCATGTTTTATATTTACCTGAAATTATATCAGTAAATGTATGAGACTGACTTCTTTTTTTTTTTTCATTGGGTAAATTACTGATATTTTATTGACAACAATACAGTTAATGGTGAGGCTCTTATCAGTTTCTGTAGAGACTCCTGACCAGTTTACTATATAGAAAAAAAATGCACGTCTACACAGGTTCTTGACACCAAGGCAAAATTTCCACTGCTGCAGGTTTGACGTAATTGTTCTGCAATGTGAAACTGTCAGAAGAGCCTTGTAAATACCTTGAAATAAGTAAGCGATAAAGGCAAATAAGTATGGAGGCTTGACAATAAGGAACTGATTACTGATCATCTACTGGTTGGGCAAGAAATGTAAAGATGCCAGTAAGGCTTTTAAGAAGCCACATAAGATGATTTAAAGCAGATGAATAATAAAAAACACATAAATAAATAACTAAAGAACTACAGCTCGGCTTGTTTTCAACACTCTGTGAAAACATGGTGGTTCTGTGCCTGCCCAACAAAAATTACTCCATACTGAGATATAAACAAATACAAAGATGGAAAAAAAACAGCAGAAAGGTAGCTTGACTGAGCAGCCTTTGATGCTGTTCCCATAGGCAGCTTAGACTCTGCTAGTATAAAGCAATTTAAGAATATATCCTGTGAGATTAGATAAACTTGTCCACTGCTTTCCCTTGTTTCTCTGACTTGCACTGGAGCATTGTGGGTAATGGCAGATACTGTATAAGGTATGGAAATCAGTAACCGACTCCTTACTACTTACTATACAGTATAATTCAGCACATACTTTGGCTGATTTTCTCTATGAACAGAAAAAATGTTTTACTGTATAAATAACATTTGAATGTTCCCCACATCAGGTAGCATATCCCAATATCATTTTATCGAATTACATATATCATTACAGAGTACTTCATAAGGCTCTCGCTGTTATCCGACATTTAAGCTCCCCTTGTCTGTTAAATAAGGAATATAAGGTAACTTTTTGAAGGTCAAGGAGTGTGATTTTAAACTCGGAGAACAGCCGGCAGTACGTGCGTGCGTGACTGCAGAAGTTGTGTTAAAGGAAGCACCCTGGGGCTGGGGGAGGGGACCATCACTACTTCCGAATTCCTAAAACCCCATGAATCCAACTTTAAGGTAAGAAGGAGCGTCCGGTCAGAGTTGCTGAATAAATTTCACTGGGGTTCCCAAAGTTGTCCCAAATCTGTCCTATTTCACGGACACAGATATGTAGACACATGCAGGCAGTTTGTAGTTATCAGGGTTGACAGGGAATGGGATATTTAAAACGTCCACATTTGTAATTGCGCACGTGTCTGATTTGTGGGATAACGTGAGCTTGTAAATTTCTAAACAGAGCTTGACGTGCTCCCTGAAAATCATCACAGCGCCTCTTTGATGTTATATAATGTCGCCTGTGTTGGAAGTTGATCTTGAATTTAAAAAACAAAAATACACAACGCATCACTGCTAACTCCATGCTATTTTCAAAAACTTACAGTCATGTAGCTTAGGTAGCAGTGTGAGTGGCCGTTTGTGAAACTTAAAAACAAACACTCGTTTTCAGTTTCATGTCCACACTTACTCAGAAGCAAATACAACAACGATTCAACTTACCCCAGAACCACCAGCTCTCCGTATTTCACTAGGTCTATGGATGGGGCGCAGTGCTCCTCTTGGCTTAACGAAAACATGAGGCTCCTGGCTTCACTTCACGGTTAGCTTTACAGTAATAACGGTTCACAAATTACCTAAAATTCCTCCTTAAAAAGCGCGACACAGACTCGCTTCAGATCGCGTACACGGCAGCATGTGTTTCAGTGTTCTCACGAATCAAGTTTGCTAAAAATAAACTGGTCTGAAACTTCTTCGGCGTGACATAGCAAAACGTAACTTACTTGGCGGTTGAATGCGCTCTAAAGCAGATACAAAAACAGCGAGGACCAGGGCCGGAACGTACCATTCACTTCTACTTTACTTTGTATAGGGGGGGCTCTCTACCTACGCCTTGGTTAAAATGGTATGCCTGGTCAAATTTTATTGTATCTATTCATTAAACACATAGATAATAGTACATGAGAATGCTTCATCTTTAATTAATTCTCGTGTAGACAAAGCAGTTGAATCTACATTGTAATAATCATTTTTGAAACCACCCGTCTTGGTTTATGGATCGCACCTTCTGTTATGTAAACAAAGAGTAAAATCTGGGAATTCTTAAAGGGATCATACTTTTTCCTGACGTGATTGCAGTTTCCTATATTTGACGGAAATAAAGGTTTAAACGTTTTGTCATTGTATTTACATTTCTATTATTTACTGTTTCAGCAAAATGTGCCAAGGATCACATGATTTATGAGTGCAGTAGTTATGCCTACCGAGGACGGGATATCAAAAGTGGGAAAAGACATGGTTTTTTAAAAAAAAACTATTCAGAATCCTCCTGGTACATTTTCAGCGAGTGTGTGAAAAAAATAAATTGTGAAATCGGATTTTGTAATTTTGCTGGTAACCCCTTAGGATCTTGTGTTATTTGATTATGACTTTATTGCAGCTGGCTAATGCATGTGATTGATTGTGCAACTTAATGACATCACTACGGATGTGCATGCCTCGAGGTTTTATTTTCACCACACCATTGCTCATTTTTGTCTCTGTTTTCAGCATGAAGCCTTTTGTTGGCTTCCGGTCCGTGAGTGCATGCTTATTTCATTCTGTAATGTCAGTCAACTGGCTGATGCGCATTTGTCAAATAATAACACCAAGGCCTAGTAATTTGGCTAATTGCTTTTCTGAGACTGACTCAGAAATCTAATTTATCCAAATGTCCACACGTGACGCTACTAAGAACCTCTCAGCCTCTAGTAACACCTCTTTTAGTACATCACACATTCACTTTTTTTCCCCCTCATGCTTTTCTGGTGAAAGTGCCACTTTTGTCTAGCAGCCTCCTCCACGCTTTAATGGCTCTGTCTTGTTTAACAGGAATCTGCATGGCTGGAGGTGCTATTACTGCTTCAGCCCTGTTGCCTCTGCAGTAATGGCCTTCTATTTGAACTGGTGTCCAGTTTCAAAGTGCAATAACACCTACAGAAAACAAAAGGTAGTCAGGGAATACAGGAGCCGGAAGGGGGGAAAAAGCCTCCCCACCCTCACGAACAACAAATTTAAACTTCACCACAATAAGACAGAGTATTGTGCATTTGTAAGCATTACAAGTCAAATAGTTGGCATTTGTTGAATCCCTTTAATGGTGCCACTGATAGCACGGATTAACATCAGCTTCTTCGGCATTTGTGCATAGGGATCAAGCTGCATTTGGCCTGGAACTACAAGGGCCAGGGACTGATCTTAATGCTGTGGGTATAATGAATGTTTACTCCTTTTTTGTGTCACTGTCTCCTTTCTCTTTGCTTTCATCCGCCATTGTCTTTGTAATAGAGCTCTATGGTCGTTTCTGTGTCTGTCTGATTCACGTTCCCACATGCATACCCACAGAAATACATACACAGATTTTTTTTTTTCAGGGGGGGGATCAAAAGCTTTCTACCACATACCACACTGATAGGGAGCAGATGCAGGGAGTGGGCTGCTTTTCTGGAGCTGTGCTGGTGTAGTATGAGTGTAAATCTGTGTTTAGGGGGAGGAGTCAAGCGTTAGCAAGCAAGAAGCATGCAGAGCAGAGGCGTACTGCAACAAACTAAATTGCACAATTGAGGGTATGAGTGTTAGCAAAGGAAACACAAGGCCCCTGTCAACTTCCTCACTGCTCTTTGGCAGGCTTTACGTGATAGCATCTCTATGCAAGAGGTGATTTGCTATTTTATCTAGGGATTGAGAGTAACGTAGTTTCTATTCTCTGTATGTCCTGTACATGTGGCAGAATTGACAATAAAGTTGACTTTGACTTTTGACTTTGAAAACAATGAGCATGTGTCTGACAAAGTGAAACCTCAGATTTATGACATTTTAAAATCTCTGCAATTTCCACACAAAGGACATCATATTGATTACAATGGCGGAACTGTAGAAAATATCCCTCATTTTAGATATACTATCAAACGTGTACATTTTTAGGCGTGTAAGCAAATGACTGTATAGTAGGAAATACCCACTTTGCAGTCAGTTGTGCACACATGGTTAAGCAGTCTGCAACAACAGGCTGTGAAAGGTGCTTCCTGCGCGATCCAGTTTAACAAGCATATCAAAGATGCTGTGAAGCATATTTGTTCGCGAGGTTTCCATGAAGGCAACAGCTAGACCTCCAGTCAGCTGACTGGAGCATGACAGTGTGGGAGAATGTGAGGAATGTGCTGATTCCATGTTGCCTGTGTTCCTGATCTGACCCGCACCCCTCCTCCAGGCAGCACAACAGTCCTGTTGTTTTAAAGGCCTTTTAACATGCAAAAGATGAGAGCAAGAGCTTTCTGCGAAGAGAAGTCACAGTCAAGTCATGTCTAGTCGCATGCAGATTTATCCTTTTGTCAAAAATAAAAAGCCGGAGGTGGCAAAGAAAATATGGAAAATTTAGAAAGAATACACCCAGGCCTTTGTGCCTTTATAAGGGCTCAAGTAGAATAGTAAAATTTCACTTTCAAATGATCACAGTAGAGTGGTACTTTCCAGCATTACAGGTGTCATCCTTGGTAGGTTCTAGATTTTAGCTACTAGTTCTTTCATAAGAGTTGTACCGCTGATAAAATTTGTAAGCCTCACACAAAGCAGAAAAAGTGTCCCATAGTGAGGGATTATACAGCATGTTACTATCACAGGAACCTGGTCACACCCCAAATGTTCCATTATTGAGGGCACGCAATATCAAGCTTTTTTACTATTATACAAAAACACTTACCCAGAATAACGCCTCTGCATGATGGACATGTTTATTCTGCATTGTCATGCTGAATTTACCTGCTAGCAATCGCACCATTAACAGAAGCTTTGACTTTTCCTTTCCCCATGTTCAGGATTGTTAAGGCTATAAACAAAATCAATTCAAGTTCCAACTTAGGTTATATGCTGCCCCACTGTGGCGAGAAGAGGGAAGTGCATTGGTAGAAGGGGGGGGAAGCAGCACAGGAGGCTGAACAGATTTATCAAGCATCCCTTTTATTAACATCACCCGTTACAAAAAGAACAAAATCTTCAGTGTTAATGATCTTAGCAACAATATAGCGAGTGCTGATTACAGATGATATGGGACGCTTATTCCTAGAGTAGTTGCAGTAGGATTAAAAACCCCTACACTGTTGACCTAGCCGTACACAGCCAGGGTCACACACACTCCCTTCTGTTTGGAGCTACAGTACAGACTTGAGTACAATTTGTCCATGCATCTCCATAGTTACAGTCACGTAGTGACCCTTCAGATATGCTGAGACCTCTTCTGATCTCCCTTCTCCCACCCAGTACTGAGCCAAGGTATAACATGGAGCTATGAATGAATAAATGCATAATGGATGCACAGTTGGATAGTTTTCTGATCAGGAGGAAAACAGATCAACAACAGTGTATTTCAGCAGGTCCTAACTGATACATTTAAACACTACATATCTTTAAGTTAAGAAGAAAAGGACTGAAAAACCAAAGTTTGTTTAGTCGAGTTGGAAATTCGTATCACTGCCCTCTCTTAACACAAATAACAACAAAACTACTGCAGTACTCAAAAGGATTTCAGTGAAAAATACAAGCAATTTAAAACGGAGGAATGGTTTCCACATAGTTTAAATTATGCTGGATGTCATTAAGTTTAGAATAAAAATTAACTGGCATTGTTGCTAAAAGAAGAGGAATGTGGTGGGAGTGGAATAGTGTGTATTTTGGTATAGTGCCTGGAGTTAACTGTAACCTCTGCCTGCTCCTCTGTGGCCAGCAGTGAGTCTGGGAGTGGTTTGCCAGCGTTTTGGCCAGAGTCAGTTTGAGGCTGCCTACAGTACAAGTGCAGTGATAGAGGTTGAAACGGAGGAAGTGGCTGGGTGTGACAGTATGCTGTGATGTGGTCAGGATGAGACCGAAAGTCAAAGGTGGTCTCTGTAATACAGTCAGGGTGGCTGCGTGGGGGTCTCACTATACCTTGGGCAGATCTTTATCAGCCTCCTGAGGGAAAGCACAAACATTCAATTGCAAAGTTTAATCTTCATTGGCAAGAGGAAAGACAGGAGTATGATACCCAATTGTGAATAACAAAGCGCACGATCAAAAGGCCTCACCCCCTCCTGTCTCTTAGTGAGTTGCCGGCTGACAGTTTGTAGCAGCTGCTGCAGTTCGGTGACTGTCTGACCCAATCCCGCAGTCATTTTCTCGTTTCTGTCAATCTCCTCCTGTCACAAACACAATTTTTTTGGTCTTAACATGACATTAAAAGGATCAGATGTCACTACATAAACATTTGGTGTCACAACAGTGTTACAACACTCAAACTGCCCTTACTCTTTGTGATGACAGACTGCTGTTCTCGATCAAGTCATCAGCATTGTCTGTCACTTTTGAGAGCTCCCCTTGGATCAGATCAACAGACTGTTGGGCCTGCATGAAGGGACAGCAATTTCCACTTGTTAGCATTGTGGTTGGCAGTTTGACCTTTATCAGAAGTGTAATGAAATCCAGATCATTCCCGTTACCTTATACAGGTCACCAGCCACTTTTTGCCTCTCGTTTTCTTCTGCCTCCAGCTTCGACAGCGTCTCAGTGAGCTGGGTTTTCAGCTGGAAAGAAACCAGACATTTAGATATTTTGCACTGTTGACCTGGCCTTTGAGTCCCGCTTCTAGTTTTTCAGAACATATACAAATCCTCCTGCCAACATAACTACATTAAACAGTTCAACATTTGCACAGATTTCATTTTTTCCCTGGGCCTGCTTAGACAATGTTCAAACCAAAAATAGCACTAAGCTCATGTGGGCTTTTTGGTACAAGCTGAGAGGATGAATCATAATCCAGGAAGTCCTGTTT